GGGGGGGGGGGGGGGGGTTTAGCGCAGACGTTTTTTGAGGAGAAAACGTCCATCATAAAAACATTTATGGATCTTCTCTTATTCAAATCACTGTCTTTACACCCTACAGTGTACATGCATGTGTAATACGTCTGTATGTATGCTGTGTACATAATTTTCAATGTTAATGTACACATGAACTTAACATCTACTGTACTGTGTATGTACCTGTATTCCTCGTATTCATCTGTAGGTACACATCCCTTGTATTCATCATCCTGGGAAACAAAATATATATTAAACTCATCAATAAGAATATACATATAAAAAGGAAAAATTACATTACTTAAAAATTTAAATTCACCAAAAACACCACAGAAAAAAAAATTAAATTATTTAAACTGAAAGTTTGTTGGCATTTAATTTTTTTTTTTAATAATATATATTCGACCTATATGGTCGACGTAATTTCAATTGAACCTCTATTTAATCTTATTCTGATCAAATAAAAAAGAGATATCCTTATATTATCTTCAGTTGTGGTTTCTCTGTGAACATGAAAGTTTAACACTCTTTCAGATATCATTGATATTCAGATATAGATTTAAAGGATACCGTTGTGAATCGGACATAGTCACGTTTACAGTTCCTTTCATTATATCACCTGAATATTTATTCCATCTTTGGTTTGATAATCTCGAAGTTCCCGCAATGCACGGTCCCTTTCTTTGCGTAAACTAAGGTTCTCATTTTGAGCATCTAGAAGAGAAAGAAGGTTAATATTATATATCATCTAGAAGAGAAAGAAGGTTAATATTATATATAATCTAGAAGAGAAAGAAGGTTAATATTATATATCTTCTAGATAGAATCCCCACAATTGTAAAAATGGAAAAAAAGGACACTGACATGTTACTTGTCCTTAGTCTTAAAAATTTAAATTAAGAAATATAACGCCGGAATAATAATTATCCGGACTTGGGAGAAAAAAGTTTTTAAAAATAGATTTTAAAAACAATTTGTTTATAAAAACCGATGAACCAAAGCAAAAAGAAAATTTGTTCTCAAATCCAAGATTTTTCTGAATACTTAGTTACAGTGCAGGGGTTTATATATTATTATCTAGATTGGGGAGGGGGTGGTGGGTTTGAAAACAGGTTTCGAAAATTTGTGAAGAAAACAAGAAAAAATGGCCATTAACTAACAAGTCTCTAAAACTTTACTTGCGCTCTGCGTAACTATTTCTTTTTTATTGGGGTAAAATTATCTTTGAAGAAGGGGGGGAGGGTTATTTTTAAGAAAATATAAACACTGTTCAGCAAGAATTACCTAATAATTTCTTAGCTAAAATATCCTCTGCCTCTGAAGATCTGTTTAAAGGTATTCCTGGAAAAATAGAAAATATTGAAACTTATTCAACTTCAAGCAAGTTATTTTTTGATTAAAAAATTAAATTTTTTTCCTCAAAAAAATATTTTAAAAGTTCAAATAATCAATGAGAGCACGTCCGGCAGAATATTTTTTAAGTGTCTATTTTATAACACTCTCTGCGTCATTTTAAAAATATAAAGCTAAAATTCTTCTCTTTTACGAAGTAAGCTCACAAACATGAGAAAGAACCGATATGAAACTTGTAAAAAAAAATAATATTAGATTTGTGTTATCAAAATAAATTTGAAATTCATCAAAATTAGTTGCAGTCTCTACTGGGCAACTAGGTCCTTTTTGGACCTTAAAATGGACAACGTACTTAATACTCCTAAAAACAAAACGTCTTTCTTGACCTAATCATGGACCGAAATAGCAGTAAATAAATGACCAGCTGAATTGTCCGGCGTTGCCCAGATTACTCGAGTTACTCACACCGTTTACCCGCACTTTGTCTTAATTTACGATTTTAGCCGTGCCCTCGCAGGGTTGCCCGTGCAATTTTTAAAAATTTCATTTTCTAGCTGATGTCAGTCCCGGGGTAGCCATGGGATCCATAAAAAAGTGTCAGTCAGTTTGGCCCAGCTGTTTGGCTATAGCGAACATATAAATGAGCGAAGAGCTTTATTTCATAGATTGTTTAGTGTTTACCTATTAGAAAGAACACAATAAGCAGCCAAAGGAAAAGAAGCAGCAGAAGCAGCTTACCAAAGTTAAAGAAAATTCTCATTCTTGGATTTCTAAACATTTTTATTTCCAAAAAAAAAAAATTATCAATTATCATTTAAAATCAGGATTATAAATGCATCATCCGATTGAAGGAAAAATAAAATCTTAGATTTTTAAACTTTTTTGTGCCTATAGTAATCATTAACGAAAATAGATGTAACATATTTCAAAATATCTTTTATTTGATTTGAATTTTGGTCAAAATAAAATGAATCAGATGTTGAAGGGTTTTCCAACATGTAAACAATCTTAGATTAAATAAAATTTAATAATATCTTAGAAAATATTCCTGTTTTAATATATTTTATTAATCTGTGCTGTAGAGTAATCAGTACAAAGTCGAGATATCAGTAAATTCATCCTGATACAAACAACCTAAATTATACAAATTAAAATTTATGCAAAAAATTATCAAAAAATGCAAAAATCACAGATAAACTCTACAAAAAAAAACATTATCTTGAATTCTGCAAATTTTCTTCATTTAAAATCAAATCACAAGGTATAGGGATGGGAGGTTTTTTCCTTGTCCTGGTTTTTCAGTCTGGACTTCTTTTTAATTTTACTGTGTAAAAACAATTGATTTTGGATTTAAGCATTGATGGAAAACTTTAATAGAGGGATCAAGCATTGATCCTCAAATTATCTTCAGTTCCGACCTCGGATGTACATTTTTTTGAAAAATAATTCCCCCAGAAAATGTTGAATAAATTTTAAAAATCCTTTATAACCCCGGTTAAAAAATATATTTTACGACACACATAACTATTGGTTTGAACAAAACTACTGAACAGAAACCTGATACGTTAAAAACATTATAAGGTAAAATAAAACTTTAAATCTTAACTCAAGTTATGTAAAAAAAAATATGGTTTAGCAAAAAGAGAATTTTGACGTAAATTTAAAAAAGTTATGCCCTTTGTTTTTGAACAGCGATTGATGTTTTATCGATTATCTTTATTGAGTCAGAACTTTATAGTGGGAGTATTGTTTATATTAAACTCTTCATCTCAATTCAGTATACTCAGTTAAAATTTTTGAATTTGAGGATAAGATACTTTCTCTTAATTCAAGTTATCGCTGCGCGATATGACCATCACGGGATATCGTACGGGAATTAAATTAAGTCTACATATGATGGAGGTCACATCTTGATCCCGAAGTTCACTTCTCCGAAACATTCAGATTTCTGAGCCCGCGATTTAAAAAATTCGGGGAAATACGGCTCGGGTCTAAGCGGTCGTTGGACCTTATTTACGGCTTGAGCTTTCGGATTCAAGCTGCATCTTATTTTTCACCGAGTTGAATTTAAAATTTAATATTCAATTTGGCGGATTTTCATGGTAGGAATTGGCGCATTTCCGGTTTTTTTGAGAACAAGACTCAACATTGAGCCTTGTTCTCCACTTAAACCAACCTAGGTCGGTTTTATTTTCATTGGGCCTAACTCCTTAAGTCGAGCCGAAGATCTTGCAGCTGTCAATCACGTGACACAAGCTGTCGTCAGAGTTGGGTCGAAGATTGGGTCTTAAAGTCGGGTTTAAGAAATTACGACAAGAGCCGAAGCTTTTAAATCGCGGGCTCTGGAGAGACAAAAGGGTTTAAACCCGCATATATGTTAGTTTCAAATACCGACTATAATAATCTTTAAAACTATATTTCATATAGCATGTAATTGATTCGTTCCAGCATTTATTTCTACAAAATCAACAAAGGCCGTACAAGAATTTTCAAATGTGCCGAAAAATAACTCACTTTCCCAAAAGTATGTTTCTTTACTTAAAATAGTTCTAGAAATTGAAAAAAAATTCATTTTTATAATTGAACTTCTTAATGGTAGAAAATGTTTCACAATTTATGGATTCATAAAAGCTTTCGTAAAAAACAAACAAAACGCATATCTAAGGCATATTTAAGGAACCAAAAGCTAATTATAGCCCTCCAGCAGAAGATTTCAGTGTCAAATTCACAACGGTACCCATAAAAACTTAAACAGAGGCGGAATTTAAGGCCACGGCTCAAATTTGGTTGGTTCCAATTAAAATCGTATTCATTACTTCAAGATTTAAGCCGGCGCTCAATTGAAACCGGTTTTTGGCGGTTTTAAGACGCGGCTAAAATTCATTAAATTCGGACACTGATAAATAATATGGAAGACATAGTCGTTTTTCTAGGTTTACAAATGTTTAATTCTGATGAATCCTATTAGTTTTCCTGAAGTAGAATCACTCTAGAAAGAAACCTACAAATAAAATGACCTATTTTTAAAATTATAAAAGTTAATAATCTTATTCTTTCATACTAACTTAATCAAACAAGACTTTTAAGAGTACCGTTGTGAATCGGGCATTGCCACCTCTACAACGAGGGGAAAATTAAGTTTGAACCTAATTCGATTATGTACAAGATATCTCCCTTGTACACTGTACAGTTGTCAGCTTATCGTTACATTGTTATCATCTGAAAAGTAAATTAAATAATTGATCCACAAAATAATTTTTTAGTAGAAACATACTTAACAAGAATTAAAAGGGAGCCTTGTACATTGTACACGGTATATATTTAAGGATTTCCGACAGTACAATTTTACCGTCGAGACACATACTAAAATTATTCCATAATTGTCCGATTTTCCGACTGGCTGTGTTATAGGAATATAAACCAGTTTGGGCCGGGATATAAAATGTTTATTATACAGGTTTATAATCTAGTTTAGTCTCGAGCTTCTTGTTCTCTCCAACCTTCCTGACAGCCTTCATGAAGTCTTCGTCTATCACCCACTCACGCTCAGCCCTAGACAATATATTTATATATAGATAGAAGCATAGAAAGATATATTCATAGATTCTATATATATATATTCTAAATAGATCCATAGATAGATCATATAAATATATTAATAGCTAAATAGATAGACAACTCTAAAAAGATAGATAGTTGGATATATTAACAAATAGACTGAAGAATATTAAGATAGATGGATTAAATAGATAAATATTAGATTGATAAATGACAAATATGAATTCAGTGAAATATGGTTTAAGACAGATTATTTTATAAATCAACAGATAAAACTATAAATAGATTGATGGAGATATTCCAGTAATTATTCAGTAACGCTCCCCTTCCCTGGTATCCAAAGTACTGAACTGTGTACAGTTATTGTTAAGTTTCGTATTACAGTTAAATGTTAACTTCATAATAGTGATTGTATGTGTTTAAAAAGTAACTTTTTAAGGTTGGTTAGATCCCTAGGGATACTTCAGCGTGAAGTATTCTTTTTTTAATTTTTTCCTTCTATGAATTTTTGGTCGAAAAGTATTTGAAAATTGTTACATTAGAAACTGGCTACCTAATCCTATAATCCAAATGAAGAATTCGTTAAAATATCCACAATACAAGCAAAATAAATTAATTTCAGCAGATAAGTTACTTTTTTAAGAGGAAGAACAAGATTCCCAAGAAAGACAATTTGAAATTTACCAAACTGTTACCCTTACCCCCCTTTAATAATTCCCGGCCTTTCCCTTTATTTAATTTATTTAGTTAAACCACACATCAACTTCTCTTCAGGGGTATTTATTCCTCTAATAATGCGTCTAAAAAGCATAGAGAAAGAATTTAAAAAAATGGCCTTTAACTTGAAACTTTTGACACTATCATTGTCAAAACCTCAAAAAAAAATTGTGTAAACCTTCATAACATATGGGAGACGGTATGAATTATAAATTTAACGTTAAGAGGGTTGTACTGACAGGAAGTAAACAATGAGGTGAGGGGAGGGGGGAAGAAAGTTACAGGGGGTAGTGGAAATGGTGAAGGGGAGGGGATAATTATAATGTTTCGGCCAGGACAGGTATATTTGCTACTGGTAAATCAGGGTCCAGGTATGTGAAGTTGTACCAACGGTATTCGAACTTAATCGTGTAGTTTTTATCAAATATCGGATAATTTTAAGTTTGAAATCACCGAGAGATTTAATAGTTTCAATCGATTCCCAATGTAAACTACACATCACCAATGAAGTGTGGTGGGGAGTGGAGATAACTTAAGATAATTGAAAACTGAAAGTAGTCAAAACAATTTGCCCAGAAAAGTTTTGATTCTGAGAGTAGCTGAGTTGTTAATTATTGATCAGTCTAGCCTCAAGCTTCATTTTTCTTAGCTTTCAAACCTTCTAAATAAATATCTTATTCATGGAGATGCGAAACCAATCTTTCTCCATTCACCGACCCTACCCCCATTCACCATCCTTTAGACATTTACCGACCTTACCCACCCATTCACCAACCTTTCCCTTCTTTATTTCCTCTTTTTTCTCCACAATCTCCATTTCCTCTTTGACTCATTCCTCTTTCTTCCGTTTCCCTTTCCCATCTCACTTTTTCAACAAACAGAAAAATATTCCTGTAGACACTATTTTACTTTTCTCGTTACTAAACTTCCTATGATTGACTAGTGACGAAGTATACCTGATGGCGAAAAGACCAGCTTCTGTACACACATTCCTGAGATCAGCTCCATTGAATCCATCACTGAAAACAGAAGAATATTAACACACAAAAATACTCAACTCAAACATAATTTTATATTTCAGATATCTTTCCAAAATAATGGCGCGTAAACATTTGACGGCAGAATCAGGATGTCAAATTATAAGAATTTGAAAATAGAGTTTGAGCCGACTAAACATCTCAATTACAAGTTTTAACAAATTTAAACATAATTTTCAGTGCTATTTTGATTTATAAACTGTTGAACAACATGTATACACAACACATAAACATAGAAGTCAAGAAAGGCTGTCAATTCAAAAGCTCCGCTTTGATTACTGGCAAACTTGTAATGAGAAAAAAGCTTTTTCACAAAACTCATTGACTTCATTGTATTGATATAATTGCCCACGACTGTATTAAAAAATATGCAAAATCCTACCGCACAACAAGTGAATATTAAAAACAACTGAATTGGGTTTAAGGCAATAACTAGCTTGTTATTTTTTAATTTGGTATAATATCTAAACCTTTTCCGGATGCATCAAGTAAAAAACGGGNCCCCCCCCATCCGACAAATTATAGCATACAAACCTAAGCTTAACGACAGCTTCGTAATCGATTTCTCCGTGTTTAGTGATAGGTCCAGCGTGAATCTTCAGAATCTCCATCCTAGCCTGCTCGTTAGGTAGAGGGATCTCAATCTTCCTAAATATTCACCATGTTTAGAAGTTTCCTCATCTAATATTAGGAAGAGGGATCTCAATCTTCATAAATATTCACCAGGTTTAGAAGTTTCCTAATCTAATATTAGGAAGAGGGATCTCAACCTTCCTAAATATTATTTTCCAAAAAGAAAACTCAGAATTCTGAGATATCCGACTATGGTGTGTTTTGAGGTTCTTTGAAGTAAATTCCTTGATCTTGAATAGGACGGATCTTACGGAACTAGACAGTAGAAAGTCAAATAGTACGATTTTGCGACCTCGTGGCTTCTAAAATTCTGATTTTGAATTTTGAAACGGTAATTTATCCGATTACATAATAGAATTTCAAAAATTTTGTTCTTGGGGACAAATTCGTTTAAGACAAAAATTACAATAAATTGAATGAAGCCTTGAAACTTTTATATTTATTTTTGAACCTAGGAATGCATTTGATTTCTACTATTCCTAAATGTCCGATCATAACTCATGAACCTCTAGACCAATTTGCCTAAAACTTTGATTGGGGAACTCGAGATTACTACGGAAATGTTCTTGGCTTGATTTTGAGATTTAAAGTTAAGTGGGTCGACTTTTTTAGGAAAAAATAGCTAAAATCGTAATTTACGACCAAGCGCGGATAATCAGTGGGAGCAACTATGATGACTCTGGGAAACGCTGGGTTCTTAAACTAGTCTTGAATATGACGCTTTTTACCTGTCTAATCTACCAGGACGGAGAAGAGCAGGGTCTAGGGTATCTGGACGATTTGTTGCCATGATCATCTTAACCTATACACGCACATTTTACTCAACAACAATTTTTCAAATAAAAGCATTGAATGTAACGGGGTAAAAGTTATTTTTCAAATAAAAGCATTGAATGTAACGGGGTAAAAGTTATTTTTCAAATAAAAGNCCAGTTTTCTGTTGCAAGAAATCATTAACAGCCAGTTTAGATTCCGTACAGTCGTCTCTAAGTCTCATTCTTTGTGGATAACCCTGTATCCAGAACTTCTTGGGATACCAAAATATTTCGATATTACCTGCGGCCGCCGATAGCGTCAATTTCATCCATGAATATAATACAAGGTTGATGATCTCGGGCATAGTTGAACATCTAAACACAAATTCATTTCTTAGAAGATTGGTATCCAAAAAAACTTTTTTTGCGTAAGTTACAAATGAAAACGAAAAAATTTTCTTTAGAAAAATTAATAAAAGTAAAAACAATTTGAGTTCTTATATCTAAAATATAGAATCCTAATATATAACCATGAGCTTGTAAACATAGAATCCTAACCCAACAATCATGAAAAATAAAGTTATGAACCCTAATCGAAAACTTTGCAATTATGTGAAATTCTCAGGTTTCAAAAACAAGCATTAATCAGATCACTTGATAATTTTACTTCACATAAATCCTTAAAATAATAAGAATCTTTTACCTGAATTTTTTTTAAATATTTAAAATGTACAAACCTCTCTGATAAGACGAGCGGATTCCCCGATGTATTTATCAACAATGGCGCTGGAAACAACCTGAAAAAAACATAAAAAAATATAATTGTTATCTATTGATTTGTTAGTGTTCAATAAAGGTGATAACGACCTGGACTGATGGAGCCCAATTTTGTTAGGACCAAACAAGACCAAAAATGTCTAGCAAACTCGTGAAAAAAAGAAAAATCCGCGAAATTGTGTTTTGATATTGTTTCTAAACTTACGAGAAAGAAATAATAGCTACAGAATTTTAAAAAATATGAAATAAGTAGAATAACAGGGGTGTAAATTTTTCTGTTTGCCCGATCCCCCCCCCCCCCCACGGGGGAGTGCAAAAACATGAGCTTTCATTGGGTTTGGGGGAAAAAATGAAGAAAAAATGGAAAAGGGGGAAGGGAAGGGAAAAGGGAAGGGAAAAGGGAAGGGAAAAAGGAAGGGAAAAAGGAAGGGAAAAATGAACGGAAAAAGGAAGGGAAAAGGGAAGGGAAGGGAAAAGAGAAGGGAAAAGAGAAGGGAAAAGAGAAGGGAAAAGGGAAGGGAAAAGGGAAGAGAAAAAGGAAAAGAAAAAGGAAAAAGTGAAGGGAAAAGAGAAGAGAAAAGAGAAGGAAAACGGGAAGGGAAAAGGGAAGGGAAAACTGAAGTGAAAAGGGGGAAGGGAAAACTGAAGTGAAAAAGGGGAAGAGAGAAGGGAAAAGGGGAAAAGGAAACAACCACTGACACAAAAAAAAACATAATAAAAATAACAGTGTCAGAAATGCTTAAAAAAACTCGAGGGGGACCTAGAAGTTGACCTTTTTAGGACACCAAAACGCTTCATTATACAACTAAAACTCAAAAATTTTCTTTACAACGGGCTTCAGACACCTGTAAAATGTACCAGTTTTTTAAGTTGTGGATTTGTGGAAAAACTATGATTCTGAAAAGGGGAAAAACATGAGTCTCACAACTAATATACACCCCTGGACTAGAATAACCAACAAAGAATTACAAAGTTCAAATAAAAAGAAAGAAAATCTGTATTATCTGAAGAATCTTGCCAAAATGAGAACGATATAAAATGTTTAAGTTTGGAATGAATCCCATAAATTATGATAACGTCGTTAAAATGCATTAAACGTAGAGAAATAGAAACATAAAAACAAATAATACTGATAATAAGTAAGATAGGCTGCAAGGTAGGGGACACATTAAAAGGATTGTTCAACTATTTCAAAATTCACAAAATTTTCTATATTTTTTTTACATTTAAAATTTTAGGATCCCACCTAAGCCATCCTTTAGGTCAAAATGTTGAACGAAGTTGAATGAAGATGCGATACTATGACTTTTTAACCTTTTGTTGAATCTTACCTTACAGATTGTTTTGATTTAAAAACTTATTTTTTCAGAAAAGTTTTAGTTTGTGGCTGGCATTTAAGACATTGATTATTCTAATAAATGACCAAATCTCTAGTACCTTTTATTTTTAATACATAACCTTTTAGAACTTGATTACTATAATAAATCTAATTACCTTATATCTAAGGCCCTGAATATCTAATAGTATGAACAATTTTTATAATACGCAGAAGAATGTAATGAATTCCCTGAAGTAATCTGCTCAGATATTTAGGAATAATAGTTCTACTTTAAACTTATCATTAATTAGAATAGTCGGAGTACGTTTCTTCCAACACTACAATGGTCGACCAGATAACGCCTCCGACTGTGAGCGTTTAATTATCTATCTATCGATCAGATAGGAATCTTACGTGAGACATATTGCGGCCAAACTAACGTCCCCAAAGTACGTCATTAGAACGAACCTAGTTCATGGAAAAAACTTACTCTGTACCTAAAGAAGGAACGGAGATGAAAGGATAAGGGGATCGGGTGGACAAAATAAATTTGATTCTACTGAAAAAGTAAAAAAGGAATTTATCAAGCAGATATATTTGTACATTTAACATAAAAAATTCATGTAGGCATCCAATGGCGTATAACGTTTTTACTTAATTTTTCCCTAACGTTTAAATACTTAAGAAGTGACAAAGAGAATAAGATGTCCAGGATCTCTAAGACTGGAATAAACAGTTGTTAAAAATCTTCTAAAACAACACTAAATAGTTTGTAGTTGCTTTAAGAAATTTATAAATTTGACAACATTCTTAGGTTGATGCAGCATACAGTGAGATCTATTCACAGTGGAATAAAACCTTTTATATTTTGGCAGTACTATGTGTACTTTATATTGCTAGAAAACCAATGATTTTACCAATCAAATGAAAATCAATTTATTAAGTAAAATGGGTCTGTTTACATTGAACAATTGATAAATGCTTCATGTTAATTGAACTAACTGAAATCATGATCCATCATATTCCTACTCCAGAGTTTTATGGGTCCAACTGTATATGAATTACCTTAGGGAAGTTTGCGTCCAGTTGACTGGCAACAGCTCTAGCTAGCAATATTTTATGGGTCCAACTGTATATGAATTACCTTAAGGAAGTTTGCGTCCAGTTGACTGGCAAAAGCTCTAGCTAGCAATATTTTATGGGTCCAACTGTATATGAATTACCTTAAGGAAGTTTGCGTCCAGTTGACTGGCAACAGCTCTAGCTAGCAATGTTTTACCGGTTCCAGGGGGTCCATACAGTAAACATCCCTAAATACAAATACAGTTGTTGCCTGTTTATTTTACATCAGAATCAGAGGCGTAAAAAAGGGGCTACGATGGCTCAGCCCCACACCCCCACACCCTGAATGCATAAAATCTAGGTTTTCACGACCCCTGGAATTGAAAAAAAATATATATCAGACACCCCTGGACAACTTCCTGAATGGAAAGATTTATTTTTCTATTCTGACTATCTGAACTCGCAAGTATTGATGAAATTCAGGTTTCGTATTAAAACATTCGAAATAAAGCATTCTAAACCATAAAAGCCAAGGAACTACAATAAATATAAAACTTCATATATATAAGGATAATATATAAGTATTAAGTATACACAAGTTGATTTAAGGGTTATACCAGAAATCCTCAAAAAGATTAAGTGCAATTTTGAGAATAATACTAATAAGCGCAGTTGAAATAAGACTTTGATTTTATTCTCCCAGAATCTCCATGCTGAATAATCGATGTACGACTTTTTATTATGCAATTTTATGAACGGATGGGCGTTTGGCTCTGTTCCCATATTGATGATACCTAATGCTGAACCCTTAATTTGTAAAAAAAAACAGTTTTATTAGTTTCCGGAATATTCCTTGCGTTGTACGAGATGGAAACTCTTGTATTGTGCACATCAAGATCAGTGCTTAATATCGATCTCTTGTTTTTCTGCAGATTAATTTAATCTTTATTCGATATCCCGCAGGGTAATCGTACCAGGGGGTAAAGGGAGATTTTTTCAAAGGATAATAACTACAATGAACATATGGAGAGGTTGTTTTAAATAGATCCTCCAATTAAAAGTGCCCATAGTGAATATCAAGATTGAGCGATCGGGATTATGAGTATCCAACATAGGCGTAGCTATTGTCAAATAATTATGAAAAGATTTTTTGGAATAAAAATATCTGCGAGAAAACACAGCTGCAGATGTTGAAATTATTTTTATTCAAATATATTCCAAGAACCATGAGTCGGCAAATTTTCAAGTTTAGTTTGCGGATTTTAAATCTAATTTCTCAGTGGTGTGTAGTTTCAGAGCTAAAAGGGGACTGTAACCTTAACATCAGTAACACTCCTCCCAATATAAAAGTAAATGCCCGATTCACGATTGTATCCCCATACAGCAATTTTAATTGAATCGTCATTTAAAGAGGTTATGTCCGATTCGCAACAGTACTATCTATGTCGTTATCTGATCAATAATTTGTAAGATGTCATCGATTTTTAATTTATAATGTTTAAATCTGAGTGGGTACAGAATGTCGATAATCAAAACTTCGAAATTACAAAATGTCGACTGCTTCAAAACGTCAACTGCTACAGTGATAATAAGAACACAGTAGTATAGGAAGACGACATTAAAGCAATACAAAGATAATACCTCTACTAGTAAGCTATTAAAACATTTATTAAGTCTGTTTAATGAGTCTGTTTACACTGCACTATGTATGTGCTTCTTGGTCACTAAAGTCATAACTTGAGTTAAAAAGGCGACTTTCTATTCCAGAGTTTTCTATTTATTACTGTACAAAACATTGAATTACAAAAATTTTAAATTCTTAAAAAAAAATTTATAAATCAAAAATCCGCGTAAATTATATTTAAACAACTTACTATGTAAAAAATGACATTTTTGTATTTATAAATATAAACATGTTCTTACAAATTTAATTTTTTATTCCAAATTCAATAAAACCATATAAACATACCAAAATGGCGGAAAAAATTGATTTTCAAAAAAAAGAGGGGGGGGGACAACAAACCTGAGTTCTCTGATCTGCTCTCCGAGTCCTCCAATCTCTGAATATGAGATATCTCCTGGATCCTCGTGAGACATGTTGTACACTAGAGGATCAACCTAAACAATATTGTTTAAAAGGGACTGAACTCCCCCAATTACAAAATGCACAAAATTTTCAACGAGAAAGATATTGCCCGTGTAGAAATCTGAAAGTCATTATTATTGAGAAGTAATTAAGAATAAATCTATTTACAGCTAGAACAAAGAAGAACATGTCATTCATTCATTTAAAAAAAAAAATAAACCACTTCTCTTGGGCACAACTTCAAATTAAAGAGACGTGATTTATGTATGTTCCCTGAGGCCAAGTTTAAAGAATTTTAACGCGTCGCGGAACCACCGAAAACCGGTTCAAATTGAGCGCCAGCTCAAATCTTGAAATAATGAATACAATTTCAAGTGGAACCCACCATTCTTTAAGATCTCCCTCTGGACTATGATAAAGTGGTTTAACCTCTCTGGGAAGATATCTCATGATGGTGAGTGTGGTCATATCCAGAGCAACTCTTGTTCCAGGTTTTAGTTTAGATTTCTCCAGCTGTCTTCTACATCCAACTACATACCTCGGTCCATTCGTAGCCTATAAACTCAGGATGGTATCTAACCGGGGAGATTTTTTAAGATCAGGAGAAAAAATGAAAAATTGGACTTGCAAAGCCAAGTTTTTTTACATTCTTTTTCTTCCTTTTTCCCAAAAATTTATAATTTTCCCCAATTCAAGGGTAAATTGATTTTCACATATTAAAAACTAAAAAAAACTTATTAAGGGAAAAAAAGGCGGAAAGTTTGGGGTTTTGGGAGATTGAGTAAATTGGAGAAAATAAGTGTTACATGAAATGCAATTTGATGACCCATTTCCCAGTCCCACTCAAACAAAACACAAAAATCGGAGGGAGGGGAAAGCCCAAGAAAAGAATTTTCCACCTTAACGATGAACTTCTCCTCTGTAAGTTGACGGAGTACCTCACCAACAATCTGACCAACACTCTGTAGAGCCTAAACATTAACAAATATCTAGTCTGAAAATTTGTGACCAGTCCCTTTAACAAAAGATTCATATGGTTGTGTTTGTGAATTAAGTCTTACATCGATTCTAAACAATTGTGACAGTCAATATGGTTGTGTTTGTGAATTAACCAAGTTTTGTATTGAATCCATTCTATAAAAACGTGACCAGTCCCTTTAACGAATAAGGTTTATATGGTTGTGTTTGTGAATTAACCAAGTTTTGTATTGAATCCATTCTATAAAAACATGACCAGTCCCTTTAAAGAATAAGGTTTATATGGTTGTGTTTGTGAATTAACCAAGTTTTGTATTGAATCATCAGAAAAGTTGAGGAAAATATATTTAATGAAGTATTCAGGTTCTACACAGGATACACAGGAGACAACCAAGATAGACTGGATGTCAAGAAAAATGATGCTCAACTCAGAAAATTATTTTTGATCCATTTAATCTTATAAAACTTAAAAAAACGTTACATAAATCGTTTATTCCCTTCCATTTAATTCTTTTAGAGAATAACATGGGCGTATGCCGTATAAGGGGGATGTCCGCTTAAATAAATACTTACTTAGCTTATCACTGACATCAGTATAAATTAATCAAATTAATTACCTTTAAATCATTCTCACTCTTATCAAACTGTTTCTGGAGATCTTTTAATTGTCCTCGAAGATCTTTTAGTCGTGCATCCACCTAGATTATCAATCAATCAATCAATCTCATATTTAAACCAGCATTCACTGAAATAACCAAAGATAACCCCATTAATCGACTTTTTTCAAGTTTCAAAAATTATTTGATTTTAATGGTTATTGCTAATTTGTTAACTAATAAAAACTTTTAGCAAGTTTTCTACAGGGGTAGAGATTTACTGAAAAAAAAACCTTCCCAGGTAAATTTTTGAAGCTTAGATTTGAGAGAGGGGGGGATATAACAAGGGAAATAAATTAGCAGCCTATCTTATAATGATTCGTCTTCCAAAGCATACCTTCAATATCTCTAAAAACTAAAGAATTCACATTATTAATACTTTCCCCAAAAAAATATTTATAAAATATTTCCAAGCATGACAAAAAAATATTGATATTAACGGGTGAGGATTAATTCAGAAAAATTATACCCATCATGGTACGAAAACATGTTGCGGGAAGGTCGATTTCGTAAATTTCACTTGCTTCACCCAGAATTGCATACATTATTGCTTTTATGGCGATTAAGTACAAGAAAAAATGTTGGTCAAAATATTACTTTATCACTAGATTCCAAGACGGAAAACAGAATTCAAAAAGGTTGGGATTCTAAAAATAGGTAAATAGTAAAAGAAAGAGTAAGGTAAACATGGTTTTAAAGATGAAAAAAAACTTTTTGAGCCTCAACTCAACCCATTTTGAAAATATCGAAATTTGTCCGACAAACATTGATTTAACAGAAAACTTATTTTTTTTTTAAGGTTTTCCAGATTTTTATGCTTTACACAAATCCAGTTAAACCAATTTAGATTTCGAAAATTGTTTTAAAATCCTTAAATGTTGAATACCTCCTTGTGTTCCAGCAGTTTCTTCCTGTAATCAGACAAGGACTTCTCCTTGCTCGGGTCGACAGACATTCTTTCTGCAATAATTCACAATTAATTTCAATAATGAATATTTCAATTATTAAATTCCGACACGATTATAAAGAACTAGATTTTAAGCTATTAATAAAGTTCAAACGGAGCATGGACATTGGACAAAATATCTAAGTTGAGGGAAATTGTTGATAGATAAAGAGGATTTTGGACTTGAAATCTTGCTTAGACGTGAGAATCTTGGGATTTTAAAGATAGAGTCCCTCTGGTGTTCCCTCCTGCTTCCTGTACAGCACGTTCTCCTTGGACTGCTTGAAATCCTCTTGATTAACCTGCAAACATAGTTTGTTTCTTTAAAAATTCAAGTGTTATCATGATTAAACTCAATAGTTTGTTTCTTTAAAAATTCAAGTGTTATCATGATTAAACTCAATATTGGGCGCACGGGCGAGAAGTGAGGGAAGTGATTGATTAGAAAGGGGAAATGAGGGAAAGGGTTTGGGAATAATGTAGAGGAGGCTACCTTCATTCTCCGCTCTCTAAGAGCTAAAAGACCAGCTTCTGTACAGATAGCTTTAATATCAGCTCCAGATAAATCATCCTGTAGAATTAGAAAAAGTTATAAAATTATTTAATTATTAAATTTATCGATAAATTAATAGCTAAAGAAAGACCATTCTGTAATATTATTAAAATTATTAAACGAATTCGATTTCTTTCATCATTTACCATTTATCAATTATCAACCAAAATAAAAACCAAAATCAAAATTGGAAAGAGGTTGATATGTTCAAATTGAATAAAAATTGGTATACGTCAAACCAAAAATGAGCGATGATCAAGAGAAAAAAATTGTTTTCTCAAAAAGATTGATGTAATCAAAAGCCTCTTACATGTTGGATGATTAAATATTTAATACTTGAAATTCAAGGCGCTTCGCGCCCTTCTTTCTAGGCTTTTAGGGCGCTTCGCGCCCATCTTCTATTTAAATTGTGAACATGTTCTTTTTGTTTACATTTTAAAACAAAGACGAAAAAAATTTGCAGGTTTAAAAAAAAATCGCGGATTTTCAAGAATAATTTTTTTACAAAATTAAAAACCTTTAAAACACATTTTTTAAAATTTTTATCATTCATAAACCTTCCCAGCTGTGGTCACGTGATGTCCCAAAAAAATTTGGGCCTGATCGGTTCAGCCGTTTTGAAGTTTATTGGATTCAAACAAACAGACAGACAAGCCAAATTTATATATAGATTAGTTGACAGTTTTCATTTGTTACCTTGGACATGATCATCTCATCTAGATCTACATCATCAGCTAGAGTCATCCGACCTTAAGTAACAGTAATTAGTTTTATTTCAATGCAACTTCAAATAAAAAGTAATATGGGACACATTTAGTTAATTCCAAGAATTCACTGAACTCCATAAAAAGGGTTAAACTTTCATGGCTGTTTTTTTCTTCAAATTTTATACTATTCGAGGGACTTGGAGCCAAGTTCTGTGTCAGCCAATAGATTGATGAACTCAATAAATTACATGTTTTTAGAATCGTAAGTTTACATTTTTTACACAACTGTAGACGTCCAGTTGAAACAAAAACATTAGTTGATCACCGTTGAATTCCGCAACTTTAAGTAGTTCTAGTTTTTCAAGGTAACGTCACTGCCTTTTAAACCTTAAAAATGATTTTAAGTCGAACATTTTTGGAAAATGACAAGTTTGAAGACGAACCAAGAAAAGAGTGGGATTTAATAGCGAATTGAGGCCGAATTAAACGAATTTGAACCACGGCTTAAATATGGTTGGTTCCGCTTTGTTTATATTCAATTTTTTAAGATTTAAACCAGCTCACAATTGAAACCGGGTTTTAGGGGATTTGAGACGCGGCTCAAATTCATTAAATGTGGACTCTGTTTTAAATTGTTGAATTATATCGTTAACAACCCCCTTTAATCCCCTGCCACCACCTGTATGGATGTTAAAAATCCTTCGTTTAGTTTTCTCGTCAGGTAGAGGAAATTCAATCTTCCGGTCAATCCTTCCAGGTCGGATCAGGGCAGGGTCCAGGGTCTCTATACGGTTAGTCGCCATAATCACCTGGATATTCATACACTTAGTTTCTATTATTATTATATATATTATTTCAAACAATTGTTTAACAAATCAATCAATTGTTTAACAAATTAATAAATTGTTTTACAACTCAATCAATTGTTTTACAAATTAATCAATTGTTTTACAACTCAATCGATTGTTAAACAACTCAATCAATTATTTTAAAAATCAGTCAATTGTTTTACAAATCAATCAACTATTTAACAACTCAATCAATTGTTTAACAAATCAATCAATTGTTTAACAACTCAATCAATTGTTTAACAAATCAATCAATTGTTAAACAACTCAATCAATTGTTAAACAAATCAATCAATTTTTTAACAACTCAATCAATTGTTAAACAAATCAATCAATTGTTTAACATGTCAATCAATTGTTTAACATGTCAATCAATTGTTTAACAATTCAATCAATTGTTAAACAACTCAATCAATTGTTAAAAAACTCAATCAATTGTTAAACAAATCAATCAATTGTTAAACAACTCAATCAATTGTTAAACAACTCAATCAATTGTTTAACAAATCAATCAATTGTTTAACAACTCAATCAATTGTTAAACAAATCAATCAATTGTTTAACAAATCAGCAACACAAAGAAACTACAATCAGTCCATCGTGATCAATTGATGAAATCAAGCATTTCAATCAATCGAGTATTTATAGTTTCTGTATACAAATATTTTTTACATTAAAATCAGAGATTCGGTTTAAAATTGATGTAATTACTCTAGAATTAAAACCAACACTATAGTTGACTAACCTTAGTATCTCCTCTAGAGTCGAATCCATCAAGCTGATTAAGAAGTTCCAACATAGTCCTCTGGATCTCACGTTCTCCACCACTGTTACTGTCGTAACGTTTGGTTCCAACAGCATCAATCTCATCTAAAACGTTTAATTTATGAAACCTTTTTTTACACATTGTTACGGTTTGTAAAGTTTTGTTACGTTTTTTCTTTTTTTCTTTTCTTGATTAAATAAATGGTGGGGGTAATGAAATAAATCAAGGTTGATTGATGACCTACAGATGATTTTTAAGGACAAATTTCTACCTATGAAGACGATAGAAGGCGAGTGTTCGTCTGCAACCCTGAACAGTTCGCGGACAAGTTTAGGACCATCACCCAGATATCTAGAAATCAGAACATAATAATTTCAATTCAAAAATTCCGATCTCTTCTCTATTTGTAATTTTTTTTTTAAGAAATCTTAAATATCTCAGACATTAGTTTAGGATTTATTGATAAATTAATAAATTTTTGCTTTTCAAAATAAAATATACATTGTACACCCCTGTAACGGGAACAATTTACAAGATTCTTACTCCTTAGCGAAGTTTCTAAATAAAAAGGTTTGAAAAGATGACTTTCATCAGGATTGTTACTAGCTAGGCCTTTAATAGTATTTAAAACTTACTTCTGAATAAGTTCTGATCCAACAACCCTGAGGAAGGTTGCAGAAGTCTGATTAGCCACAGCCTTAAAAAAATCAATTTTTATTTTGAGATTGATAAAAAGATCAAGATTTAAATAAGTATTGCATGAGATTGATATTAAGGTTTAAATTGAGGATTGCATGAGATAGATATTAAGATTAAGTTTGATATTAAGATTAAGGTTGAGATTAGGATTGCATGAGATTGATATTAAGGTTTAGATTTAGGATTGCACGAGATTGATATTAATATTGAGGAATGAGGATTGATATTATGATTGAGATAAAGTTTGTTATGAAGATAGAGATTAATACTAAGATAAGGCAGATATCCGATTGATATCAAGATTAGAATCTCATCGATCAAATCAACAGTAAATCTTAATTTTACCTTGGCCAGGAGTGTTTTTCCAGTGCCAGGAGGTCCATACAGGATAACACCCTAGAATATACAGTTCAGTAACAGTACAATATCAATACAATATCAGTACAATATCAATACAATATCAGTACAATATCAGTACAATATCAGTACAATATCAGTACAATAACAGTACAATATCAGTACAATAACAGTACAATATCAATACAATATCAGTACAAGATCAGCACAATATCTGCAATATCAGTACAGTAACAGTACAGTAACAGTACAATTTCAGTACAATATCAAATCAAATCAGTACATCATACCACATTCTTATCGGATTTACTTTATAGCCAAATCAGCAATAATTTTTATTATTGTCACCCATTTCGTGTAATTATGTATGATTATTCCACGAAGAAGGTGACAATAAAAAGAATTATCTACCGGGAACTAGAAAGATACATAGTTCCAATTGTTTCTCCCTCTTCGATAAATTCGATCCCTGAATGGTAATTGGACCTTTGTTGGATAGTATTCTTCATCTTGAACGCATAATCTCGAGTATCCAATTCATGCACTTCTAATTTGCGGATCAATGCTTAATCTTTTTTCTCATTTATTAATAATTGATACAATAATTTAATTATCAAAAGATCAAGATCAAGCATTGATCTTCATATTCACAATACAAAAGTTTCCAGGCTGTTTTGATCCCGAGATTTGTTACACAAGAGTTCTTACTTAAGATTGGTTTTACCTTTGGAGGTTTGATCCCCATCTCCTCGTAGTACTCTGGGTGGGTGAGAGGGAGCTCCACACTCTCCTTGATCTCCTGGATCTGAGCATCTAATCCTAGAAGTTGATAACATTAAAGGGAGCTAGACTTTCCTTGATCTCCTGGATATCAACAAGACTATCAGGCACAATTGGTGATCCATTCCTGATAGTCCCTTCCCCCCTCAGAAAAAAAATGTATTCATCCATAATATTTCGTTCATTCGTTTACTTATTTTTAATCTGTCAAGGTTTTCAAGTAATGGTTAATTCATAAAAGATTATCCGGAACACACGCGGCCCAATTTGACCGAAAGAAAGAACCCAATGGGCCAAAAAAAATAAATTTCAGGCAACTGACATTTGGTTGGAAAAAATGTTGAAGATTGAAGTACGATTAAAATGGCGACTAAAAACCTAAAATTATTTTTTAAAAAGGCGCTAAAAGCCTAGAATCCATAATATAAATATCTACCTCCGATATCAGCATAGCTCTCTGTTGGAGCTTTCTCTAGTTTCATGACGGTAACCATAGGATCAGTATCATCACTCAGTACTCCAACAACAGCGTGAACCTAGACATTGACATCATTGAAATCAACAAAATAGTAATATACTAGCTTGAGAACCCAGCGTTCCCCAGGTTACTCATAGTTACTCTCACCCTTTACCCGCAATTGGCCGTAAATTACGATTTTAGCTTATTTGAACCCACTCGACTAAGAATCTCGAAACCATGCTTAGAACATACCAGTGGAGTTACCCAATCAAAATTTTAGGCAATTTGGTCAGAGGGTTCCTGAGTTATGATCGGACAAAAAAGCAAACAGACAAACAGAGATTACAGTTTTATATATATAAATTAATAATTAATAATTTATGCGTGAAATATCTATCTGATAAAGATGTTAGTTATATTAAAAGATAACTGTAATAATGATAGCGACAACACATTTTTCCACATTTAAGAGGCTCAGGAACTGTCTTCACCTAACCTAACCCAACATAATGTAACATTTTGGTAATCGACGTTTTGTTTTTTTAAATCAATTTAATCTAAACCTAATTCAATTACACATTGTAAACATAACTTTGAGAATATTATATTTTTTTATCAATTATTCACATATTTCGAAGTACAATATATTGTGTTTTGTTTGATAAAGATTTTTTTTAAATACACATCTAATGTACTAGAGGTTAACAAAAGTTACTTAGACTATAAAAGAACTTAGAACTAGCAACAAACTAATCCCTATATCTTTGCAACATGATATCGTACACCTTATAAGTTATATGTACTATGTAGTCACCAAATAATCACTTTTATGTAGTTATATACTTGAATGTCACTTTTTGTAATTACAAAATTGTCCCTTTATGTAGTTCCAAATCGTCATTTTTATGAAGCAATCAAATTGACATTACCAAATTGTCACTTTTTTGTAGCTACCAAAATTATCGCTACCAATTTATGACTTTTATATCGTTAACAAATTGTCATTGCCAAATTGTCACTTTTTTATAGTTACCAATTTGTCATTACCAACTTGTCACTTATATGTACTTACCAAATTGTCATTACCAAATTGTCGTTGCCAAATTGTCACCTTACCAAATTGACGTTACCTAAAATCCGCCCGTCCCCCCCTCCCCCCGCCCTTCTTGAATCCTGTTATACACCTGTGGTTGCAAACACATCTGGGGCAAATACAATTTTTTATGACAACATTAAATCAACGAAATCGAAATCATGTTATACTGACAATTTAAAATCACATAAAATCACATCAAATTAAGTTTTATAAAATCAAATCATTTTTCTGATTTCAGCAAACACAAGAATTCGTGGGGGACACATTTTTGAAAAGGAATTCAATTCTGTTCTTCAGAAATCAAGAGAAAATAAACCTCTATTGTTACATTTAAACCCCAATAATTACTAATATTTACAATAACATTATCCTAATAATCTTAAGATATTTTTTTTAATTGTTTAAAACATTCATCAAAAATTTATTTTTGTTTTTAACATTTTCTTGCTAAATTAGATGTGTATTGTTTAATTATTATCAAATTTTACTTAAAATTTCATGATTTCTTCCTTCTTTTCTATCAATATGTTCATTAATAACATATCCAAGTATTTTTGACAAAAATTAATTCTGATATTTGTAGTTTGAACATCGAAATAACGTTTCAATAACGTATGAACGTATCAACTATCAATATATCAACGTATTTTCAACAATTATCAATTAATTATTCATAAATTAATTATAAAAATTAATAAAGTTAACCCCAGAGCCTCGAAAATTACTCCAATTTTTGAGGCTCCGGGTAAACGTGAAAAATTGGAAATCAACTAGACACTTTTTACACCTTTCAGAATTCATCTATTTTTTCCAATTTATTAATGTATAAAATCCTAAAAATAATTTCAAGGGGGGAATTAATTTTTAAGAAATATACAAATATTCTACCTTGTGGTTTAATAGAACTGAACATCCAGGCTCCAGCTGATCCTTGTCTACAAAACTCAGGATTGAGACATAATGTTCACTTCCAACGCTGAAATATTTAAATTAAAATAATATTTTCAAAATGAGGGTTAATCCGTTCTTCTTATTTCTCTCTTATTTTTGCTCGTGTTGGTAAGAAAGGTTTACCTTGTAGAGACGATTGCATGATTATCATCAATAATTTCTTCCAAGTTTCCCACTGACATTGGTGTACCTCTCAACTCGTCAACCTACAGTTCAAATGTGAAGTGGTACAGTGAAACTGTGGAATACGAAGACGACTGTTACTTAAGTTTTGATTTTGAATAGTTAACGGATTTTTAGTGAAATTTTTTAAATCTTTGCCTAGTGTATTTAAGGTTTCACTACAGTGAATTCCTTAATAAGGAATACATCGAAAGAATTCATCAAATGTCGTATTCTTCACTTTCTGATAATGGAATGTTGCAGATATTTAGTTTTTTAATTAAATGATTATATGGAACTCTTTAAAGTTTAAAACTGTTCCCGCATATTCATGGCTATTTATTTATTTTCGCAAATACTGAAATTTACGTATAGTATACAACTCATTGAAAAATTGTCAAGACGACATTTGATAAATTCTTCCGAAGTACTCGTTATTAAGGGTTTCACTGTATGATAAATTTACATTTTGTTTATTGTTAAATCTTAAAAAATAACTAGTTCATTAAAAAATGTTAAATAGAAGTTCAGAGTCCAAAGCGGAGTAGAGTATTATTAAGTGGTGGGCCCTAGAGTAAGAAAAACGAGATACTATAACTAATATCGTGTGAACGTGACATTGCCTCTCAAGACATTAGTAGCATCAAATGCTCCTTGTTTTGGGATTTCCCAAAAAGTGGTCTGGCATTTTTGTACCTTAAGAATTGACTGGAATATTAAGAAATGTATTTAAAACTCAAAATATAAAATACTACCAAGGTTGTTTAAATCTTTAGTATCTCAGACAGTTCCTTTGATTAAAAGAAGGAGACTTAATTTTACCAAGTTTTTAAGACTTATAATGCTTTTCTTTACTACATTGACGACTATTAAATTTAAGAAAATCGGAAACAAATTTGAAGTCCAGGGTCCAACGTCTAATTTACTGCATGACACCCCAGCCAGAAAATTCCATCAAAACTTGTCTATCATATATCCATTCTATTAAATATCCATGTTCACAACAGACTGCCTAAATGTCGTCTTCCTATTCCACGATATTATGATATATGTAGATATTTTCAAAAATTAACCGATACATTTTCAAGTTAAATTATTTCCTTCTTGGTAGGTATATATTCTCGCTAATAGTGATTTATTATTTAATTTTACCACAAGTTAAATCAACAAAAAACGTGTTACTAATAAATAACATACTAGCCCTTGGAAGAATACATTGTGACTAACACACAGAATTACCCACAGTGTCTTAATAAAACTCTTTAAATATAATGATCTGAAAATTCATTGAGAACGCTTTAAACTTTGCCTGATGATTGATCAAGTATGAATTAGAACAGGTATGGATTAGAATTCTATTTTTATAATTTTGAGAACTGTTATTATTCCTAGAGACCGAATTTAATTAATTTGAGCTGCATTACTGAACCAGCTATTGCCGGTACAAATTTGAACCACTGATTCAAAGTTTAAGATTCAGGAAAAGAATTAAATTGGTGATTCAAATTTGAACCGGCGGTAGATAGTTCAAATTCATTAAATTTGGTCTCAAAAGAAAACATTCACGTAGTTTGTGCGAGGAACCTACCCTGCTTCTCTCCTCCTCGTTCTTCTCCTCCTGAGGTTTAAGTCTCTCCTGGTTCCTGATAAACTCCTCCTCCATCAGCAGATAATCCTGAAAAATATCAGATCAAAACCAAAATATCAGATCAAAACTAAATATCAGATCCAAACCAAATATCAGATCCAAACCAAATATCAGATCAAAACCAAATATCAGATCAAAACTAAATATCAGATCAAAACCAAATATCAGATCAAATCAAAATATCAGATCAAAACCAAAATATCAGTTAAAACCAAATTATTAAATTTGACGAGTTTAAAAGACGACCTGCAACTTCTGCCTTGAATTTATCATTTTTATGGCCTATTTTACGATTTGGCAAAGAAAGAAACAAGTTTAAATTTGCAATGAATCAAGAATGGAAGAAAAAGGGCAGTGTAAATTCTGTACAGTCGTCTCTGAAGTCTTATTATTTGTGAGTAACCTAACCCTGAATGTTTGCAAGTACATATAAAAAACTTTGAACAATCCTAAACTTACCTTGATTCTTTCCTGCTTCAACAGACGTAACCTGCACTTAGTATGCGGGGTCACAGTAGGCAGCTTGTTAGCGGCATCAGGTCCCTAGATACAGAAAAATAAATAGATAAATAGACAGATAAATAGATATACAGACAGATAAATATAAAGATAGATAGATGTACAAAATCTGTATTACAGATAGATAGAAAAATAGATAAGATAGAAAGATAGATAGATAGGCAGAAAGATAGTCCGATAGGCATACTGATTGATAGAAAGATAGATAGATAGATTTATAAATGGTTCTAGGAGGCAAATCACGTGATTTCGGCTGTGAAAGAATCATAAGTCATTATAATTAAAAGAAGTTGATTGATTGATTTCAAATAAATAGTTTAATAGCAAGGAGAATAACTAGAAAGGTTATTTGACAGGAAGATGTGTTCTCTTAGCGATAGACTTTTCACAAATAAATTGTGCGAATGGTATTTTCTAAAGATAAATGTATCTACGTGTCAAATGTTGAAATTAAGAAATGGTTAACCAACTCAATTAAGAATCAATAAACCAAGTTAAACGGATTTCCGTAGTTCTACCGAGTTCCTGAATAAAAATGTTAGGCCGATCGGTGTGGAGGTTCCTGAGTTATGATTGGACATACAAACAAACAAACAGAAATTACTACTTTATACTTATAAATACCTTGACCCTCTTCCTCTTCTTGCCAACCCTGGTAGGAACTGGAGGCTCATATTTCTTCTTCTCTGCTTTATCTCCCTAAAGGTAAAAAAATACAAATAAATGCATCAACAAAAAGGTCTTGGAAATAAAAAGACAAGCGACAAAAAAGTCTACAAAAGAAAACCTAACATTGTTAATAGAATAAAAGAGAAGCTTTTGGTAGTATGAAACATCTCAGTCTAACTAAACTGACTTGAAACTTTTCCAACATGTTTGAGTCTAAAATACAGAAAAAATATAACAATTTTTTAGACATTTAACAAGTTAATCCTAACCGGATTCATACCTTCAAAAAAAAAATCTTTTTAATTCCCGAAAATATAATATTTTCCCCCAAATTAGCGAATACCCCCAGAAAAAAACATTGAGTGTGTGAAAGGAAAAAAATTATTTCCAAGAAAACATTTCCCCTGCATTTAAATTAAGCAAACTTAACTTTACGATGTTAAAATACCCACCTTGTCTTTCCCCGCACCTCCCCCTGCCCCTGACTGTTGGTTTCCCATTCTTATCAAATATTCTGAAATTATTATAAGTTTTACTTAAAATGTACGCAATGTTTAGAAATTAAACCGAAAGTTGGATTTTAGATTTAGCTCCGGTACGACTGATTGGGTCAGGTTAGGCTGAAGGTGTGTTGGCAACTACAGCTGGGGTGATTGGGTCCATCTCTGCTACACCATCCCTGGAAAATACCAAGAATTAGATTAATTTTACCGATTAATTCATTTAAAAATATTTTTTCAATTTGCACAAACTCGCCTTAAGACAAATTGCCTTATTAAAACACTCCTTGTTTAAACTCGCCTTGACAACAACTCTCCTTACACACAACTCGCCTTGATAACATTATAAGGTAAAACTCGCCTTAATTTTATTTGTTAACAAGGCGAAATGTTATGAAGTCCAGATGTTATCAAGGCGAAATGTTATAAGTCGAGTTTAAATAAGGCGAGTTTGTGCAGGGCGCAATGTTACTGAGCCTTCACTTTTACCAAAATGGGATGTGAAATAATAAGGGGTAATTCGTTTTATGTTTGGTCAGCTGTTGATTGTAGGTAGATTGTAAGGCTAAGGGGGATGTGGGATTTAAAGAAGGTAAGGTGGAGGGTCTGGGTCAATGATGATATAATATGGCTACGAGAAAGTCGTACAATTTAGAGGTCTTGTGAAAAATGGAAAGCAGCGCCATCTCTGTTGTACACATGGCAATTTATCCTCTTGGAGTGTTGCTGATTTATCACATTCTTTATTAGTGATAATACCAAATATTTACTATAAGTATCAACAATGTATGCTGCAAATTAATCTTAATGAAACAATTCTTTCAAAGCAAATAAAAAATGGGCATTTTAAAAAATCATTATCACTGATTTAACAACTTTAAAATAATTTTCCTATGTTGAACAATATTCCTGTTTTGGTCTGTATCTTAACTATGTATAACTGATCACAGCATCTATCTATCTATAATGAAGCTGCTGTTAGCTCCGAAGACCTATCAGAACCTAACCCATCGCACAAGATTTCCCAAAGTTAGGTATCCGGCACGTTAGCTAGCTTAGCATAGTGATGGTTTATGCCCGCGCGGGCAGCCACTGGGACGTCCCGAGTAGTTTTGCAGCTGAAAACCGCAGCCACGGAAAATATCTCGTTTCTTTAATAATCTGCATGTCTTTGTTTCATCTCCTCCACCAGATCCGGCTCCTCCAGCTCAAGTGCCTTTCCGCATTTTGCAGTTTTAAGCAACACTTTATGCATGGAATTACTTGTAACGTTCCTTACAGACCTGCTGTAACTCTTCTAGTTCTGATTTTTGTGTGAAAAGGAAATTATCTGGACCGTGTGCAGTGGTTTAGACGTACTGCTTTTGATTAGTGAGATTTTAAAATTGCGATCCATGCACTCAATTTTACCACCTTCAAGTTTCATTACCTCTTGCAATCCAATTTACCAAGCGGGTTTGTGATGAAAACCGCATCCATGGAAAGATTTAGCTTTCCTTAATTAACTGTATTTCTGTGTTCTTTGGACTGCAACACCAGCCATTTAATCTCTGCTCATCCAGCTCATGTAGATTTCTAATTTTTTTTCATCCAGCTCATGTAGATTTCTAATTTTTTTATCAGTCTTTAATTATACCATTCCTCTCTGACAAGTTATATGTCTAAATCGTACGCGGTGGCTATGATTCAGTTGAATGTAATGTTTAGATATTAGACTTTAAGCTTACATTTCCTGCACTCCCGAATACTCAAAATCTTTAACACACCCCAGGGATTAGGTCGTTTACTAATCTCCTGATCTCTTTGTATCTCAGTTCATCTATATATCTATTATACACCAGGGATTAGCTCGTTGACTAATCTCCTGTTCTCTCTGTATCTCAGGTCTTCTACAAATCTATTAGACACCAGGGATTAGGTCGTTGACTAATCTCCTGTTCTCTTTGTATCTCAGGTCTTAAATAAATCTAATACACACCAGGGATTAGGTCGTTGACTAATCTCCTGTTCTCTTTGTATCTCAGGTCTTAAATAAATCTAATACACACCAGGGATTAGGTCGTTCACTAATCTCCTGTTCTCTTTGTATGTCAGGCTTTCTTCAAATCTATTTAACACATCTAAAAGCAATTTAGGCATGAGGGTCTACCTGCCAGCACAGCTATCATCTATTCAAATAAGCTCTTCGATCATATAAATATATTTGTATGTATATTTGTTAGCTATAGCTTGACTATCGGCTGAAAAGAAATTTACTGAAATTAAATGGTACCTGGGGGTCGCATAGACTAAATTTTGATTTTTTTCGATTCATTAGAAAATGATAACTTACTTGTCAACTACCACGATGGTGAAGTTTGGCAGATTGATGATCAGACGCTTCTGAACCTCCCTAAATGATAATTTATTGAACAGCTGAACCAAATCCCTTTCAATCACCGAAGTAGTTTAACAAACTCTATCCCCCTCTCCCTATTTCTATACCTCCTTGGGTTCCAAGTAGGTTATGCAAAACCAGTTGAATTTCAATTATTGTCGCATTTTGTGAATTTTAAGTTATAAATTATCTTTTTTTACCCCTTTAAGAAAATTAACGAATGAATGAAAAATAGTTTTATAATTTACATAGCTTAAGCCTGAGCTGGCTTAAAATGAATAGAATTATAGACATACTAACGACAATTATTAGAATCGTTTAAAATGGCACCGCAATCATAAGCTGGGGCCAGATTTGATGAATAGCGAGGTTTAGCTAAACTGCGCAAACTTTGTTAAGCTATTTCTCTGTTCCAGATGAAGAGAAGTGGTTTAACTACGTCTACGTGGTTCAACCAATGACCCGCTATGCATTAAATCTGGTCTCTGAGTACTTGAACATAGAGTTATATTATGCTAAAGAAAAGTGTTCCAGATTACCTGACACATTCAATCATAAGAGCATACGCCTGGGCCTTGGTCATATCTGGTCTAAAAAATAATTGAGTTAATTTACATTGGTAAGGGGCCAGATGGTGAACATTGGTACTCTTTGCTTGCGGCGGTCTGGCGGATTACATCAGGATTATTTACTTCCAATTACCCCCAAAGAAAATAAATGTACCCACAGATAAAATTCCTTAATCAAAGTAGATCCGATTTACATTAAAGAACAAAATTGAAAAATTGAAAATAATCAGTTTTCAAACCTATTAACATTCATCAGATTTATGCTTAATAAAAAGTCTTCAAGGATGCTGTTGTGAATCTTTGCATTGGAGGTCACTTTGCTTAAATTGATGTTGTAAATACCTGAAGTGTCGATCCATAATAGAGGTGGTGAAGGAGCCTCCATACCCGTGAGCAGCGTAGGCGGGCTAATAAAGTATTATTATTATTTTATTCATTAATAAAAATATCAATTTTCAAGAATGTTACAAAGTTTGGGGACAAAAATCTGGCAAACTTTGGCCGATTTTTTATTCGAAAAAGTTTAATTTAATTGAGGGGGGGGGGAAATTTTTGGAGAAAAAGTTAAAATTGTTTCAAGTTTTTGATCACTTTCTGTAGGACTAAAAGGAATATAAAAAAATATAGCGAAGTTATTTTCCAATCTATGTGACGTAAAAAATTAAGAATTTGATTGAACCTTGATCATTGCTGCCAGATAATCCATATGGTAGAGTTCAGGTTGCTGGGTGGCAGTATCATATCCAGCTATCAGTAGATTCACCTGGTAGGGAGTCCGGGACCTAAAAATACTCTCGTCGTGGTCGTGGTCATGGTCGTGGTCGTGGTCATGGTCGTGGTGGTGGTCATGGTCGTGGTCATGGTCGTGGTCATGGTCGTGGTCATGGCCATGTTCGTGGTTATTGTAGTGATCATGGTCATGGTGGTGGTCATGGCCATGGTCATGGTCACAGTCATGCCTTTAGACGAATATTCATTGTTTACTTGGCCATTGTCCTTTATTACAAATGGTGTCATTTTCACACAACAAGGTATTTATCTCCTGCAGTCACATAATGACCTCCTCACATAATTATATGATCATGGGTCTAGATTCGGGTTAAAGTCTTTACCTGAGATAATCTGCAAGATTTCTTCTGGTAAAGTTTGCAGCAGCGGAGGGTGAAAGTTCATACCTAAATATAATCATGAAATAATAATTTTAACCTTTCAGACATACAGCGTTTCGGATCCGTATCATTTGGTCGGATCCGGATCCGTATCAGGAAACGTTGATATGGATCCGGGTAGCGCCAAAAATTAAGCAAAACCATGGAATAAATAAATAAAAATGGTTCGTAAATGTATTATTTACATGACGAAAATTTTTCAAAATTATCTTTAATAATTTAATGTTTACATTTATATAATAGTAATGACGACATTTTTAACTTTAGGATTACTATAGTTTATAAATTATAACCTTGCATAACATTTAATAGGGAAAANTTCTTCCTGTCACTCTTCATAACCAGGATAGATCTGGAACAGGGCAATGACAATTTGAAACAAAATAAGCACAAAAAATCCCCCCCCCAAAAAAAATTCCCTGATTATTTATTATCTTCTTAAACAAACAAAAAATTCACTTAACTTCAGATTTTTTACATTTTTTACATTGCAACCCATTTCCGATATCCATATTTGATTCATGTAAAATATGCATTTTATAAAGATACCTTAAAATTCAAAGTAGCCAATATCACACTGATTCAAAAATCGCCCCATTTGTTAATAACTTATGAACGTGAATGCAACTGAACCATCATCATGTAAAACATTTGTCAACGTTGCTCTATAATTGTATACAATATACAATATACATGTAGGTGAGAAATCCTTTTTTCAAGAACATCATAGTAATGTCATAATAAAGGAGGATAAAATAACTTAAGTGTTTAGAAAACATTTCACAAAACTAATAAAACATTCAGGGGTGTATATTTTAGTTTTTTATACTTTTAAACCAAAAAATCATTATCTATTTTACCGAATTCAGCGGGAAAAAACCTTAAATAATATTTCACGCTCAGCGCAAACTTAAATAACATCTGGGGAAATAAATATTTTTTTTGGGAAAATTTACTCACTAAAAAAGATATTTTATTAAAAAAATAAATTTACCTTGCACTAGTTTGATCTGCAGCCACCATGACAAAGTCATTACACTGCATCCCTAGTAGACATTCCATCTTTTCTGCAATTATAACAACCATAATAATAACAATATTAATATATTAAATTTTTACTACGTCAATTGGACACAGCCATCAAATGCACCCAGGTTGGTAACAGTAAACTTACAACTTAGAAAAATCCACCAAACCCGCCTCCAAACCCTCCACCGCCTGGTGGACCAAACCTAGGCGGACCACGGCGGGGGAAATTAGGCCCCGGCGGATCAAACCTAGGTCTAAACCCTCCACGTAATCCTCCTCTTGGATTTAAAAACGGATACAAATCATAATCCCCGCCGATAATCCCCGGGGGATTGAAGGGATCGGGCGGAAAGTCTGGGTACTCTGGGTCCGGGAATGGATTAAGAGGATTGAGAGGGAGGATTGGAGGATGACGGGATCTTGATGTTCTGCTTCTGTGAAGAGTAATATAAAGATTACGGGGATCCTCTCCACCACCTAGGTATTTCGAAACAGTTAATAGGGGTGTACTGCATAAATCATTTTTAAAAAATAGATAAGTAAATGAATGAAGAAAAATAGTGCGGGGGGACATGCCAGTTGATATCAAAATATTTTATAATTTAATTGATTTATATCAAATATGACGAAATACGATAGAGAAAACTGTAAATTACAATATTACTAAAAAATAAACATTAAAGTTGGAAAACAGCACCTGCGATTGCATGTATCTCTTTTTTAAAAAATGAAGGCTTACATCAAACTATGACGACAGTCCCATTAAACATTTTATAAATAGTAGTAACCTAGATTACTGAAGTCTCGTTTGAGAAAGATTTTCCATATAGAAGAGTCCTTGCTTAGTATATTCAACTCCGAACATGTTTGACCTTATAAAAGATGCTTTAAAAATTGTATAGGAATTTATTTCAAGGGACTGTAAGTGTAATTTTAAGTGACCCTCCTCCATGGAAAGATAGCAATACCAGGTTGTATCCGGAAAACCTTGATTTGATCAAAAATGTAGAAGATAACGCCGTTATTCTGACTTGAAATATTTATTTCTGTGAATTTTCCCCATTGCTTCATGTCAGCAAGAAATGTGCAAATCACTTTAGCAGAGAACACACAAATAAAAATAAACATTAGTCAAACAAAAACATGCATATCTAATTCGTATTTGATCAGACAAAGGGTACTGTTGTAAATCGGACATTGTCATCTTTTCACGGAAGGTGACTTGAAATTACGCTTACAGTCCTTCAAAGGTGAAAAGGAGGCTAAACCATGAGAAAACAATATTAACTTACCAAGATTAATGGATGATTTTAAATCCAGATTGTAGAATATCTGTAGGAGAATCTCAGGAGGAAGAGATATTAAACCACCACACTAAATCAATCAATCAATCAATCAATCAATCACTACATCAATCAATTAATGCATCAATTTACATCAATCAATAATTAATTCAATACGTCGATCAATTTACCTTTACATCAATCAATAATGTATTCAATACGTCAATCAATTTACCAATACATCAATCAATACGTCAATCAATTTACCAATACATTAAACAATAATTCAATAAATACGTCAATCAATGTATTAGTATATCAATCAATCCACACTTAAATCAATAAATACTTACTACACAGATATCAATTTATAAATACATACATAAATCAATCAATACACCCGACACCAAACATTCAATCAATCAATCGATCGATGGCACTAACCTGAAGACCTGCAGCTAACCTAGCAGACTGTAAAAGTGGAAACCCAACTTCATTCTTAAACTTCCTACTGAGTGTTCTTGCATGTAGTAGAGCAAACTAAATATACATCTATATAAAAACTTAGCAATCTCGGTTTGTTAGTATGTCCGATCATAACTCACAAACCCATTAACAGATTTGCCTCAAATGTTGATCTGGAACTCTGTCAAACCCCGGAAATGTTTTAGCTTAGGTTTAAAATGTTAGTTGCGTTGGTTTTACAGAGAAGTTTAGTTCTAGGCAAAGGTGGATTCCAAAGCTAGAAATGTATAAAAATGCGGCCAAAAAAATAATGGATAATAGTTCGGTTTTTCTTTTGAACTACTTTGGCTATTAAAACGTTTTTGCGTATGTCTTATCTCAGGGTTAAAATTTAAGTGGAGAAAAATGTTTGTAATAAATAACTTTTAAAACTTGTAAAACCTACCAGAATTTTGTAGAACGAAGAAAAGGCCAATTATCATAATTTTAAAAAATTGGAGTTTTTCCAGTTTCAGAAGGGGGGGGGCGCCGGGGAGAAAAGTCAATTCTAACCTTACTCGCATTTTGACGAATGAACTCTTCAGGTTTACTGATCGTTGTTGAATACGAAGTTCCACCGTAAAGTCCAAATATTTTGACTAAAAAAAATCTGGATTGATAAAAGCACAGTAACATTCAAAATATATCTGTGACAAGTTATAGACAAAAAAGGAAGAATCTGAAATTTCTAACGCTAGGATTTCAGGGTGCCTCGCTCCCGTCATCTATTTTAATTGTGAACATTTTCTCTTTGTATACAGTGGTAACCAGAAACTCTGAATTAATTTATAATTAATCAGACGACTTAACAATCTAATTTTACTAATAAAATTGATAAAACGATAATAGTCCTGCCTATTCCAAAATGTGGTCTGCTTTTATTGTACGTTTAAAATTACCAGAAATATATAAACGTGAAGTCGTCTGATTATCTGTGAATTAGTTACGGGTCTATCTGGTTATGACTGTAGTTCANCCTGCCCAATCCTATAATCTATCATTTAATAAATATTTCTTACCTGAAGGAATATTTAAATGTTTGTCCAGCCGATGTTCTAAACTCAGGTATAATATTTCGATCTTCTCCATTCTTCAAACAAATTATATATTTTAGAAGTGGATGAAATTTGATATATATTAACTATATATTGACAAAGATTAATTAATTAGTGGATTAATCAATGATCCTCTTTTTTTCTATATTTTCCGATACAAATGATTTAAAGAGAAACCCCATCCTCTACAGGAGTTACCCTCAAGTCTCGAGGTTCTCTAAGATCAGGACTGATCAGTGTTGAGTGTAGGTGTAGAGAGGATATTAGAGTAGGTGGTTTCTTGAGAAGTTTACCTATTAAAGGTGGTTGAGCTGGTTTCACAACCTTCCCAGTATTTGATCCGGATTTGAGTTTAACAATAAAAACTATTAATTTCGGAATTCGTCTTTTACAGATTATTACCTTGTTTATAAATCCCAATTCCAGCATAAATGCATGAAGCACAACGGAGAGATATTCGTCGGTGTTCTGAATATCCGACGAATTCAGCAATTCTTCCTTCCACTCAGGATCTTCGGTCTCCATTGCTAAATTATTTATTTGAAACAGATCAAAAAACCGCCTCTAATTTTTCAATAAAATTTAACTAGTAACTTTTCGAAGCACTTTCATTCAAGTTTGATATTTAATTCCTGTTCAGCCGATCTGCAAGTCACCGGCGGCGCACGAATCATGATAATGCTCCGTAGTTTATTTGACTGTAGTTACAAAAATAAAAGACGACGTCGTATCGAGGGCGAAACCAATCGATAAACCAAATGAGTATCATATCAATTGGACTAAGGATCGATTGGACTAACATTCGTTTTGACTAATATTCACTTGGACTAACGTTCGAAAGGACTTTAGTCCTTTTTAAAAAATATTTGTTCAATTGAACTATTTTTTTTAATTCATTATAAACAACCTCCCAGTTTTAAGTGTATCTGCAGTCATCATGACAGCTTTGGTGAACATGTTAAAAATGTCTTCTTTCATAATTTGTACCAAAGAAAATTTAATAGTAAATACTATATGGTAGTCATATTATATACGAAAATTCATTTCAAAGTGAACTGCAAAATGCGAAAATGACTGTTAAGACTATAGTTTATGGTAGAAGAAGCTTCAAAACTGCTGAACTGTCATGTTTCGTGGAACATCCTATACTGTACACACACAAAAAATAATAAATGATATAATGCAATCTTGAATTTTTGAGGGCTAGGTTAGCTGTTAGCGGCTAGGACCTGGACTCCCTGGACAGACATAAACTCGTTAATCCCTATATATTGTATTAATTAACAGTGGTCATGAATTGTTCAGTAATGATGCCAATGTGTTAATTGTAATTTATTCATTTTTAATTAGTTCATTTCAAAATTATTCTATTTTATTTCGTTTAAATGTCCTGTTCAAATAGCCTAAAAACCGGGTTGTGAAAAGCTGACTTTAAAATTAAATAGTGCTGTTGTGTACGTTATATATAGTGTAGTGCAACGAAAGCAAAAATTTGCGCTTTCTTTCGCAAGAATTGCGCAACAGTTTTGCGTATGTAAACCCTATTAACAAACAAATTTTCAACTCTAGTAGACGAATTAAATTAATTAAAACCCCTTGACCGATTTACCTAAAATTTAATTGGGGTACTTGCAGTAAAACCACGTAAATTCTTAGTTGGTTGGATTTAAAATTCTATATTGAGTAAGTTTGACTTTTAATGAGAAAGCTTAGTTTCAAACCAAAGCTGGGTTCCCGAGCTAGTAATATAAAGTCCTTGAATTAATGATGCAGTGGACTACAAAGAGAACAAATTGATATTGAAGAAAATATAGGCAACTAAAGGGCCAGGGGGGGGGGGCAATTAGGCGTATACAGAAATAATTGTAGGGAGGGCGAAATTTGTGCGAAGCGCCAAAAAATTTGCCCCCCCCCCTAGGAGCTCCTAAGGGGGGGGGGCAAAATTTGAACTGTAAATTCAACACATTTGGCTTCTTGGATATCAGGCCTAAGTATAAGATACATACTTTAAAGGTACATATACAGTCCAATTACCTTACATGTCCTATCTAGCTAACTAGCAGAAGAAAAACATTGTTTCTAAAAAATCGACTTTATTATGCTGTTATGTTAGTGATAATTTGTATTTAAACTAAAGATAGTAAAAGATATTTTTGAAAATGAAAAACCTGACTTAATCTTAAATTCTATGAGATGAAAAAAGGACAAAGGTCCAGAAGATAATTATGACTTGTAAAAGTTTTTTGTTTTAATTCGATTTTTAAATTCCACGGGCAACGCCTAGCACTTCAGCCAGTTTTTAATAAAAAGAAAGATTACAAAACAGCGGTGCAATGAATTATGTAAATTAACCCCCCCCCACCCAAAAAAAAAAAAATTATCGTTTACTACCTCCAAACTCAAGCCAAGCCAAACATTAGGATGAATGTGCATTCTAAATAGATTTTTCATTCGGACTTTCTTCAGTCTTGAGTTTAAGATTTGAAAAGTGGGAAAGCTCCGAGTTCTAGGGGGGCACTGATACGCCCTTGGGGGGGGGGAAGTTAACGGGGGGACAAAAAAATGTCGGTTACCCTTTAAGTCTGTTTCCAATCCATAGAATAAATAGAGAATAAATAAAATAACAATATAATACATTGAATTTATATTGACTAGACATAGTGATACATAAATGTTATTTTACAGTGTTTATGTACACACAGCAGTACACTAGTACACTTGGAGTTAGTACAACAATACTAGCAAACTTGAGGAATGTGTAATGCTCCAATTCAACATTCTTTTTCAACCAACAATAAAACTGAATATTGAATATTGAATATTGAATATTGAATAATTTTTAATTCAATGATTTCCGCTGCTTTAAACAAAATAATCATAATTTTTATAATAAAATCTAAAAACATTTATAACTCTAGAAAAAAAAAACTAAAAAATCCTTTTCCTCGGCAAACTAAATGATCTTTCAGAAGTTTAGTGAGAAATCGAAAAACCGGAACAAAAAAAGGTAAAATAAAATGATTATGTTCGAATTATCGGCAGATGTTTTAAACTTGCCAATTTGCGCTAATATTTTTGTGGATTTCTCAATATTTTTCTTCCAATTATTGATAAAATATTTCAAAAATCTGGGAATGCACTAAAATAAAGAATACCTTTTCACTTTATTAAATAACTCCCCCCTCCCGAAACATTACACACTCATCTTGAAAACAATTTTGAAAAGAAAAACACAGTTTAGGGGGAAACCTCGGGGGTGAATGTTTTATGTTTACAATCACAAAAATGGCACTATCTACATGTAACACTAAAAAATATATATAAAAATATGATTTACCATAGATGAGAATGGTGAAAAAATTGCTTAGATTAAAAAATACAGTGGGCATAAAAATTGCACAATTTTCATGACGATTTTTATATTTAAAAATACTAATACTTTCTTATAGGAAAAAGATTAAAGCAGTTCAAAATTTCTTGGGTTGCCCTCTTTAAAAAAAAATAGTTTTTTTATATTGAGGTAAAAATAGTAAAAGATGATTGTGTTTTATGATATGGGAGAATAGAAAGTCCGTATAATTTACTTCAAATTTTAGATTTTTTGTGACGACTTTAATTCGGCAGGTAAGGTTTTAATACGAAACACAAAAAGAATTAGGGGGGGAGGAGTGTAAAAATGCTTTGTTTTTTAACATAATATAACGACAGAGAATAACGCAATGAATGAGATAGAACTCAAACCAAGTTTAAATATCCAATACGCTTTAATTTCAATTTTTGCATAAATTTTCACACTTAATAATTTCATTGAATGGTGACAAATGCTTTGTTAGTGTTTTGATTTGTTACTTTATAGATTAAAGGGCCTGTACGCGTGGTTTCAGGCAAAGATTGCAAATCCCGATTCACAATGGTACCCTTAAACCTTTGTTTGATCAAGTATGAATTGGATATCAATGTTTATAATTTTAAAAGTGATTTTTTAAATTGTGTTTTCTCTACAAAAGTGAATTGGGCATTTCTAGTGCAAGTAAACATACAAAAAGGAATTATCAGAATTGAACACTTTTAAACTAAAAAAGATCTTCCACATTATTAATCAGATAAAGGTTTCAAGGGTATCGTTGTGAATTGGGTATTGTTATCTTTGCATGGAGGGTCATTTGAAATAATGCTTACAGTCCTTTTAAACTAGTATAAATGACTTGCGATAAACTCGAGTTGAATATAGAACTGGCAAAATGCCTGACGCAAAAACTCAAATCAAAGTTTAAAATAAAAATGAAAAAAAAATTTTAATTCGCTATGTTAATGAAACTTGTTGTAGAAATGTAGAAATGTTTGACCGCACACACTAATCTCAGATTTAGCATTGATCGACATTGATCAGACTCATTTTGTCTCTAAAAGGAACAATCAACCTAATTTCACGTAAAACTTAACTTAAAGCGTTACATGTCCGATTCACAAGGGTACCCTTTAGCCATTTATCAGATTTTCTGTCAAAAAGATAAAGTTGTTTTCCTGAGTTTCTCTGCTAGATGAATTCACTCCACAAGTCACTTTTACAGGAAACCACATTAGAAATAGTCAATTTTCAGAGAGAAAACAGAACATGAATCATGTTTGCTCGGACATAAGATTGGATGGTATCCTTGTGAATCGTGCTTGGAAATTTTTAATTAAATTAAATTTGGTCGAGGTCGACAGTCCCTTTAATTAACAAAGAGAGCATAACATGTGCTGTACAGTGTACACGGGAGCAAATGGTGGGAACCAGGGGCATACACAGGAATTTGTCCAGGGGGGGGGCTAAAATGTTTTTTTTTCTGTCCAGGCGGGGGACTCGGCGTTCGTTTGAGCCTGAAAACCACTTATAAACGATGGATTTCATTTTTCCAGGATGGGTAGGGGGTTAAGCCCCCATAGCCCCCCCCCCCCACAACTGTGTACGTCTCTGCTGGTAAATCCAGTTTGCAAAAATATGTACAAATAAGCAAAGAGAGTTAGTTACTTTTTACTTTATCGGTTGGGATTTACAATATTTCAGTGATATCTTGATTTCCGAGAGGTTTTATTTATTAATAGAGAAAATTATATATTTTAAGACAAACAGTAAATCCGGAACTTGCTAGTTAATGTTTCCTTTTTTTCTTCGAAGTATAAAGGCAAGGTTTCTTTTCCGGAGCTACTTAATGTACACACCTTTTCTATTCCACAAGTCATTTATTTTCAATGATTTTTGAAGAATTGACCACTGTACTGACTGGTGACTTCTGGATACATTCATGAAAACAATTCCAGGAAATCAGAAACAAAAATAAATCTAACAATCCTGTGCTTCAGGATAACCTGGTCTTTTTTGTCCATGAGAACAGGCTTAAACTGGTTTAAGACTATCTCTTGTCAATGAGAACAGGTTTGAACTGGTTTACGACTATCTCTTGTCCGTGAGAACAGGTTTAAACTGGTTTCCGACTATCTCTTGTCAATGAGAACAGGTTTGAACTGGGAATTAAGTTTGGGCTGGTCAAACCGAACCTCGCCGTGAGGGCCCAGGTACAACTGTAAACCCTGGGAACCTAAACATAAACAATTTAAAGTATAATTATGAAGCTCTACATTGTGAAGAAAAAGGGCCCACACAGATGCGGAGCAGGAAGACGACAGTTAGACAGTAACTTAACATCATCTTATTACGTGAAATAGTTTTGTGTGCACTGCACAATTATTGTGTTTGGTTGGCTTATTTAGAATCTTAACTTAATTTTAAAAGTTTTTTTCCAATTTCACAGTTCTATGGGTCCCCATGTATCAAGGAAAATGCTCGTAAATAAAGATTCATCCCTAGTGATTTATATTTTCGTCTAAAAAAAGGGTCGCCAGAGTTAATCTGTTGCTTTCCTGAATCGATCTCTGATTGGTCAAATCCTCGAGAAAAAAATTGATTAATGAACAAGAAGAGAATGAGAAAAACTAGTTTCCTCCAATTTTCCAGCAAAGGTAAAAAATCCTTTAACATTTTGTTCTTGTAACAAAACTTGAATCCGAATCTTGGCAGATCAAGATCCAAAGATGAAAACTAATAAATACCTTCAGTTGCTGTTGAAGAATCTAAATGTAAATCTTCCATTAATTCATTAATTACATCCTGGGGATCCACTCGCCCGGAATCGATTCTCTAAAAAATTATAAATTTTGTCTGAAAAGGGACTTTTCACCGGTTTGAAAATACCTCAAAGTTTGGAATTATGAACACAACTACGCCTGTTTTACCCTCAAAATAATCGATTCTTTCTGGCAAAACAGTTTCATTTCCTCTACCTTTAATTTCCTTAAAACATGTAATAAAATACCCAAAGTTTTTTTTAATCCAAAACGTTTACCATTCTGCATCCAAAATTAAATTAAAATCATCGTTGCACTTTTTTTTTCGATCTCTGATGATCAACGTCCAACACATTTTACTTTTTCTTTTTTTATCTTAATTTCATAAGTTTTTATCGTATTTTTTTTTTTTTAACTTTTTGATGACATTAATTTTTCAAATGTTTCAATTTTTCAAATGTTTCAATTTTTCAATCATTTAATTTTTCAATTTTTCAATTTTTCACTTTTTCACTTTTTTAATTTTTCAGTTTTAAAATTTTTCAATATTTTACCTTTTTCCTTTTCTCCTTCTCCATGGAACCACAGAAACCTGTATCGGCAGAACCAGCACTCAGGTTCCTTTAACATTTATATTTATTTATAAATACTTCACTTGTTTGTCTGTTTGTTGGTTTGTAAATAATCAAAACGGCTAAACTAATCGGACCCAAATTTATTCTGGTTTATGGACAATAAAATAAAAATAAAAATTGAAAAAAAATGTCTACGTTTATTGTTTTTGAAACTGCACCATTATAACAGAAAAAGCCGTGAAATTATAATTAGCTTTAAGATAAGAAGCCTCTTGACCCGATACTGGGAAAGTAAGTAAATTAAGATTTACAAAGAAAAATGGCAACTTGAGGAGCAACGGTTAACAACTGAAATGTTTGCTAGGAAAGGAGCACGAAGCGTCCTGAAAGCAAAATATCTATTTAAATCTTGTTATTCTGGGATTTTAATAACGTTAAAAAAAGTTGTCCGAGTGGGTTAAATTTTTTCAATTCACAATGATACCCCAAACCCCCCCCCCNTCTGTTATTTACACAGAATAAAATTGTGGTTAGGAATTTTTGGTTTTTAATCCTGTTTCAGAAACATTAAAACTAATTATTATCTTATCATGACTTAGAAGTGAAAACTTTAGAATTGCGAATATCGAGATCAATGCTTGATCTCCACTTTTTGTTAATCTTAAGATTTTAATCCTTCTAGTTTATATCTAAAAATAAACCTGAACTAGCTAGGGTTTCCAAATTCTAGATAAACCACTTCCGCGAATTTTAGATACATCTCTTTTTGATATTATTTGCAACAAAAAATTGTAACGCGTATTTTGACATTTTCGTAAATTTCGAGTTTCGAAGACTAACCCACCTGGCATGACTGCTGTCAGCTGAGCTTTGTCTTGAATGTGCACCAGGTACTGTTGCAGAACACTGGGATGAATAGCCAACAGAACCGGTCTGACTTGGCTAGAATATAGATAAATACTTAAAATATATTTGACTATCCAATTTTTTTTTAATTGGCATAATTTTATAATTTGATTGTTAGGGTAAATTCTGATTCTGGTTGTGGACCAGAAAACCCCCCCCCCCCCACACACACACACGCAACAATTCATTAATTGCAATAAGTAGATAATAAATTGAAAATTAAAAGGGAATGAAAGCTTAATTTTTTAAAGTAACCTTCCATTGAAAGAAATACATACCCGATTCACAACAGTACTCTAGTAACCTTTATCTGATCAAAAATGTGGATGATATTGTCGTTTTTCTAGGTTAAAACACATTGAATCCTAAAAAATTCAGGCCAGATCTGAACCACAAGATCCCATGTAGACCAGGGCAAGTGGAAGAGCTCAACCCTGTTTTCATTATATTTCAACCTACAGTTCATTGTACTTTGTCTGAAGGTTGATTGTTAATAATAATAATAACAATGAAAATCAAAAGTTTTCTAAAGTATAAACATTAATTTCTAGATCAGACATAGCTTTTACGGGTACCGTTGTGAATCGGACATTGCCATCTTTGCGTGTAGGGTCACTTGGAATTACGCTTACAGTCCCTTTAGTTTGATGATCTGTGCACCTGAGAGGTTGATGATGAATTGCGGGTATGAGTAGTATCTTGGGCAAGATCAGATAGCGTCAACATTGTTCTAGAAAAAGAAAAATCAATAATATTATAATGTTGTTATTTTTTTCTATCGCTCAGTATTTTAATAGAAATCTGTTAGAACTCAGCATCAGCAGCTGAATTCTATATCCATTGCGTAGACTTTTTAATTGATTACTTCAAAAATATTTATTTATTTTAAAAATACAAATTTTTTACGATATTTTTTAGATTTCGAGTTTTTAAAACTTAAATAATTTTTTTAATGTATTTTCGTAATTTTTTAGTTTAAGTTGTAGTCATCGATATAAACTTTGTCTGTTTGTGTCCAATAAACGTCAAAACGGCTGAACCGATCAGGCCCAATTATATTGTGGCAACTCACATGATCCAAGGGCAGGTTTATGGAAAGACAGAATTTAAAAGAATTTAGATTTTTCAAATCGATGAATTATTTAAATTTTATTTGTTGTTGTTTGATCATTTAAGAAGAGAAAATGCCACAGATAAAGCAAGAATTAAAAGTTAAAATTGAAAGAGTATTAACCTTGTATTAACTGAGAGAGCTAAAGCTGCATCCTCTTCTCCAGGCAGTAGAATAGGTTGCTGTCTAGTCAGGGGCCTAGATAGATAGATAGATAGATAGATAGATAGATAGATAGATAGATAGATAGATAGATAGATTAGATAGATAGATAGATAAGATAGATAGATAGATAGATAGATAGATAGAAAGATAGACGACATAGAATTGGAGTATGGGGGCTAAATCATGTTTTTTCATGAATTGTTAAATTGAAAGCTTGGTTTAACACTGAAAAAACGGTAAATTGTCAATGAAAAAGGGTTTTTAACGTCAGGGGCCTCCAAATTATATCATGATAGATGGGGTACCAAGGGGCGGATACATGGATTTATCCCAGTTTTGTTAGAGTAATTGGTTTAATGGTTACCTTTGAAAGACGAGATCTCCCTCTTTTAAAGTGATATTTAATGTTATTTGAAGCATAGAGTTGTCTAGTCTGTGGTGCTGATCATAGGCCTAAGTTGAGAAAACAAATATTAAAAAAGTAAAAATGATATTTTGCATAACACAAGTACTGATAAAAGAAACAAAGTAATAATACTGAAAATTTGTCTTGTTCTGTGTTGTACAACTTATGTACAGTAGTCGGTCAGCATATTTATCCATACAGTGCCGTTAATTAAAATGGTGATATTATACAATTACAACTGATAATTCATTGGTATTTACACTGTTGGTATGTCAGCCTCTGTATTATATCACCATTTCAGTAAACTTTTTTGTATGGATATGCGTCAAAATGCATTTTTTTCTTCTCTACAAGAGATTAGAATGCGGATATCTAAAAGAGAGTCACAGAAAACAAATTTATGTAGAAGATATAACAGTAGGAGAAAAAAATTTGTTAAAAAATCTGAATGTAAAAATAAATTGTTTAAAAAACATTTTTGTATAGATATATATGCTGACCACGGTATTCACCCCTGCAGTCACGTACACTCGTACAAAAAATGTTGCATTACCCCTGGCAATCTGACACATTGTATCCAAAACTTCGTTTATTTTTCATAAAAATAATGTTTTTCCCAAATTAGCGTATATAACCCTACATGCATACATAATATTGAGGGGGCAGGGGGAGGAGGTTAATTTGTCAAGAAAATATCTACCCCTGTGTCTACCTGCAGGGGTGTAATATCTTGTTAAAAATCATTCCCCCTCCCACCCCCCTCTTATGAACATATTTTCTTTCCAAAAGTTAGGTATGTTCAGGCCCAGGGTTTTATTCGCTGAATTGGGAAAATATAAGATTTTGGGAAAATTTTTGGGAAAATCAATAAATTGAAATTGAAAAAAACTTGAATCTTGATTTTGAAATCTTCAAAAATCATCCCCCCCTCCCTCGGGTGGGGTGGGAGGGTTATTTCTTAAAAATATCTACCCCTGTGTGTACCTGTAGTATATATCTCTGTGTGCTGGGCCCTGCTCCAGCATATTCAGCTAGGTCTACATCCACAAATCCAATTTTTCTATAGTTTTTCCCCCCCTTCTCCTCCTTTCTTATTCCAACCCGACATCTACAGCTCTCCAACACTCCTAGAATGACAAAAAAAGGTATTATTAAAAAATCTTGTACAAAAACAAACTTTCATACAAAGCCTGATTTGTTCTTACAGAATTTATAAGTCAACTTTTCAAATCTTAGATCATCAAGATTTATTGAAATTATACAAGTGTAATTTTTGGGTGTTATTCAAAATTTGAGGGGGAAAAATGTCTATAAATTTTTTTTATTTTCATTTTTTTATCCTTTCAAACTGAAACTCAGACCCCCTAAGATTTTTCATATTAAGCACCTGTGTTGGAATTGGCATTCATTTTACAGGGGAACTGAAACTTTTCATCATATTTGACTGTGTGGTTTGATACCTCCATCCTTAGAAGTAACGCTGTCAAAACATTGAATAAATAGCTGGGCATTCTTGTATTGTGCATATCGATATCAATAGGTGATAACGAACTTTTCTTAATCTGCAGATTAATTAAATCTTTATTCGACATCCTGCATGGTAATCGTACCCAGTCGGGGGTTGTAGGAAGCTTTGATCAGGGTAAGAATAACTAAAGTGAAGATAATGTATTGGAAAAGTATAGTTTTTTATGGATACCTTTGATCCTCAAATTTAAAGTGCTTACAATAGATATCGAGATCAAACGATTGGGATTATGAGTATCCAACAGAAAAGATCCCAACTATAGCTAGTGGTTTTAATCGTTTTAGTTTTTTTGCCGTTTTTTGCATATTTTTCTCTCAGGGTCAATGTTCGGCAGAAGGTAGGAAAGACAAATGTTCTCAAAAAAAGATTAAAAACGAAATGCAACAACTGATCTTAACAAAACTTATCATCAAATAACCAAAAACATTTTATGAGTTTTGTTTTGACATCATTTTTCCTTTTAGAAAGTGCAGTAAAGCTTCCTCCATCTAACTGCCGGACCTAAAAGTTGAAAAAAATTAGGATTTATTCAATTTTATTTATTATCAATCAGTTCCCCGGTCTGTTAATCAAAATCTCAAAATCTGCATAGTAAAAATGTTTGCAGGGTTTCGGCAGATATAAAAAAGTAAGTAGTAAGTCGGAAAATCGATAAATATGCCTTTTTTAAACTGGGACAAAAAAGTTACCAGATCCTTATCACTTCTCTGGGGATATGATCTTAGTGGTGTAATCTATCCCCCCCCCTCAATGGTTGCTATTTTTTTTTCTCTAAAATTCTCTCTTTTTTTGTGGAATTTTTGCAATTCTATTACGAAACAGATTAAAGCGCAATGTCGCAAAAAGGAAAATTTCCCCATTTCGCTTGAAACCCTAATTAGAACCAAGAAGAGAATGGTTTGGTATAATACTAGACTTTTAGATTAACATTTTCAGCTTTAAACTGTTGCACTCTTGAAGTTGTCAATATTATTTACTAAAAAAAATTTCGCGGATTTTCATTTATTGGACAAAGACAGGCAGACATAAAAACAAAGAGAAAAGCCAAACTTATATTTAGATTAGAACTAGATTATTTGTAATCAGTAAGAAAGATTTTAAAATTAATTATCAATTACCTTTGCAAACAGAATAGCTTTTCCAAAAGAAACTTCTGTTAGATCGTTCAAAATTAGTTCAGCCTAAAAACTTAACACTAAAAATAAAATTTTCGTGGCCACCTTTCATTTTTGGTGGTTTCGGTACGGTAAATATTTAAAATAGTGTTTTCTATATATATTCTAGATTTACATTAAAATTAGACTATGAAAATTAAGTTATCTAACTTCCCTTTAACAATAAAAAGGAAAATTTTACTTGTCAATTTAATTAGAATTTTGTTTAACTAGTCCATCAGGGGTGTATTTTTTCTTGAAAATAATCTCCCCCTTTTTTTGAAAATCATATTTTCCTTAGACGTTAGATATATGTTTGCGGAGCGGCAAAAAATGTTTAGTCTTTTATTTGCTGAATTGGTGGAAAATAATTGATTTATAAGGGAAAATTAATAAATTTTTGGGTAAAAGCATCAAAAAGTATTAAAAAGTATTAAAAAACTTGCTGCATAATGTCCAAATTTCAAAATCATATACCATTGAGCACAAATAAAAAAATTTTGAAAATAAAAAAACTTTTAAAATTCAAAATAAAATTTTACCTGAAACTTGTATCTTTTCTTTTTAATGATGAAAGCCATACTCTCCTGACAAACATTTGAAAATAAGCATCTTTAAAAAAATTCCAAAGATAGTCATAAACATTCAATATTAGACTCATGTTTCTTGCGTTACAATTTTCTTTCTAAGAATGTTCTTTTTTAATTTAAATTATGCTTTACCTTAACGATGGTCAGAGGGGAGAGAAGGGGTCCTAAAATGAAAATAAATTTATTATTTGTTCTTTTTTAATTTTTAACATTACCTAACATGTAAAACAATTATAAACGCCCTTTTTCAATATTTAAATCAATTCTAAATTTGTGACTAAATAACTTTTAACACTTATTATTTTAAACTTTATTTTAAAACATGATTTAATATTAGTGTTAAGTAATGATTTTTCTAAAATAAAGAAAAGAAAAGTTTAGTTTTTTAATTAAGAGTGAATTTTGAGTTGATTCCGTATCCTCGTCAATATCAATAACATGTTCGAATAATTTCAAATTATCCTTCTTTTAAAAACGACAGTTTGCGATCACAAGGGTACCCATTAAACCTTTATCTGATCAATAATGTGGAAGATATCATCGTGTTTCTAGCTTGAGAAGTGTTTTATTCTACTAACATCATCCATTGTTTTGGCAGCAATAAATCTGCAATCACTCTTTAAAAGGAGGCACAATTTAAAATAATCAATTTTCAGATAGACAATCAAAGATATCTTATTTATTATTGATCAAAATAGGCTTTAAAGGGGACCGTTGCACGGTCGCTAATCCGACAAGCCACTCTAAAATTGGAGTGAAACTAGAAATTACATCTACACTCCCTTTAATTAGTAACTAGGCGGTTCTGTATACATAAAATCTTCACCTTTTCCTTCAATGTTTATCAAACTGCTTTGTCGTCTTAACATATCCATTTCTTAAAACTGTCTAACTAATGTGTATTGAACTCAACTGAGTGGAATAATTACTTCAATAGATGGAAGATAGATAGATAGATAGATAGATAGATAGATAGATAAAAAGAAGATAATAGAACAGGAAATCCCAACCAAGTTTAAGTATTTCAGTGTTTTAAATAAAATATATTTTTACAGATATAAAGAAGGAGAGGCGGGGGGAAATTAATCGAACTTATGTCTTAATTTTATAAAAAGAAAATATGCAAAACTGTAGTAAGACGTATTACAATCTACCTGTAAACTCCATAATATGCGTATTAACAAATAAGTGCGTGTATGTGGTTAAATGTGTAAAAATATTCAAGGAAGAGGGTTTCCCAAGCGTTTATCAAGTCCCAGAATAAATTGGATTAATGAGAAAAAACTTCTCACAGAGGCGTACTCAGGGTGGGGGTTATGGTGCTCAGCCCCCCTCCCCCCGGATCAGTAGAATCTATGGTTTCCAAGGGGGTTCTAAGCCCCCTCCCCCATGGAAAAAAATTAAGCCCCTCCCTTGGACAAATTTCTGAGTACGCCCCTCAATTAAATCTCAACTTTTTGTTCCATTCGTACTTAATCCTTTTTAGATGTATGATTCAATACAATTTGATGATAAGAATGAGTATAATAAGTACAAAAAGACTTGATCTCTAACTTTTAGGTTTCAAATCAGAAGCAAGACAAATTTCAAGTTATACTTCTAGTTTATTAATGAGCTCTATCGACCACATTACACTTTCATAGAGACTACAGTAAACTTCTATGGAGACTACAGTACACTTCTATGGAGACTACAGTACACTTCTATGGAGACTACTGTACACTTCTATAGAGACTACAGTACACTTCTATGGAGACTACAATACACTTCTATAGAGACTACAGTTCACTTCCATAACACTTCTATAGTGACTACAGTACACTTCTATAGGGACTACAGTACACTTCTATAGAAACTACAGTACACTTCCATAGAGACTTTAGCACACTTCTATAGAGACTACAGTACACTTCTATAGAGACTATGTAATAAATGCCCTACTCCATAAACTGCTCTTGAATCCGTAACTATCCAGGTACAATTCAGTTTCACTTAGCTATCAATCTTATACCCGTCTAGATGGACACAAGCACATAATCGGTCAACGCCAAACTAATGGGCGCGATCAGCTATCAATGTCCCTCCATAGACATAAGCACACAACTATCTTTGCCTCAACTGGGACACGATCTTGAGCCAGAAATGCCTCAACTAGGACATGATCTCGTAATTACTATCAATGCCTCAACTGGGACACAATCTTGAGCTATCAATGTCTCAACTAGGACAAGATCTCATATACTATCAATGCCTCATCTGGGACACAATCTTCAACCCATTCGTTTATAACAAGGACACAATTACTCTCTCGCAGTAATCAAAGTGAAGTCTCTGTATCAACTAATTTATTTTAGATAGCTATGATACAAGTTAACGTAATTTACAAGTTTTACGTCGATATATATATTATTTGAAAGACAATTCCTTGTCCGAGCTCTGCAGCAAAGACAGACCAGGGGGTCGAGCACCGCCGCCAGGACATTTATATGTATATTTTATAATGATGGGAGCAGGGGCGCACAAGGGGGGGGAGTGGCACTGGGTACACGACCCCCCCTGGGGGGCACGCATAGGGAGGCCTCATTTATGAAATGATTTCATATGATGTGGACAATGAAAACTTTGACATTAAAAGACAAGTTTTTTCATTCTTTTTAATATTATTTACACAAAAAATCAGATAGTAACGGCCTAAAAAAATAATGGCGCTCCGCGCACATTTATTCTTCTTCTGTGAAAAAAAAATATTTTGGTGGTCTGAAAAAAAAACAAATTGGACAATAAAAGGCCAGTTTTTCATCCTTTAAATTCTTTTTACCCAAAAATTCAGCAATTAAAACCCAACATTTTATTCTGTAGGAAAAAATAATTTTTGATGAACTGGAGGAGGGTAAAAACTGGACATCAAAAGGCTTGTTTTTACCCTTTTTGATTCTTCAGCAAATAAAACTTGTGTTGCCGCTCTGAGCAAACGTATATAATTTCTAGGGGAAAAAATGTTTTTGAAAGGGGGAAGGATTTCACAAAAATTCGGCACCCCGTGATAAATAATCAACAAATATATGTTCTAAACCAAGCAAATCCTAAGTATGAAAGATGTAAGGTTCCTTAATAAAGATAAAAAATCAATCAATATTTATTTCAAAAATGGGTTATTAGGGGGGGGGGCACAACCTCTCAAAGGTGGTGCAAAAAGTGCCCTCCGGCCCTAAGCTACAGCTCGATAGTACGCCCTGGAAGGTAAATCCAAAACGTCTTCTCTAAGAACTTACAAACTTTGATGACAGACATTTAAGATTACTAGGATCTTAGAAGATACTACAGGGTGTCCCACATCAAATAAGACCGCATCAATGGGTCTAAATTACGATTTGGGGGAAAAATCAGAAAATTTAAGAAGAATTAATCATTTAGAAAAATTTAATAAGGCTAATAGAATTTTTTTTGCAGTAAATGCTAGATTTTTCGAGTATTATGTGCGTATTTTGGCGTTAAAGACTGGAGATAATCTAATATGATATGGGACACTCTGTATAGAAGAGGTAGCTTCTGGAGTGAAAGACAGCTCCATTAAAGACAGACTTTTATGAAAATTTATACTTATGTTTTGGTTTACTAAATAACTACAACCGTACACATTAAAATGCAATTATGCAGTTTTAAATAAAAATATTTTAGCCTGAACTATGTATCGTTGTGAATTGGGTNACAATTAGGAAATGTTTTGATCATTACTTTAAGTATAAAAATTAATTCATAAAATATCTCTTGTAATTTTTATTTCAATCAAAATTAATACACTTACCTATTAACTTACAATGTAATTTAATGTTTCATGTAATTCTCCACATTTTAATATCACATTTTCCACTTTAATCCCATTAATATCTCAGATTTTTATATATATTCTTTAAATTGTTTATTTGATCTTATGACAAATTGTCTGTACTTTAATTTGTTGTGTGTATACTGGGAATTTATCGAAATGTTTGAGAGCGCGTCCTATCCGGGGGGATGTGGAGATTCGTAGAGAGAAATTTGATGGTGTATTTTTGGACCTACGCCCATCCCCTCTACTTTCTTTTTACAGAAACTTTTATACTCTTCGACTTTGAAAGATTTACGGGTTTAACTGTTTGAAATTGTCTTCTGTAGAAGTTTACTATTATCAAACATGCAAATTTGGGCTCAGTAACATTTTGCCTAGTACAAGTTCGCCTAGTACACTTTCTCCTAGTACATGTTCGCCTAGTGCAAGTTCGCCTGGACAAAATTTTGCCTATGACACAGTTTGCCCAGACAACATTTCGCCTAGATAACATTTTGCCTAGATAACATTTTGCCTAGATAACATTAGAGAGTAATTTTCGCCTAGATTAATTCATTCTTCAAATTATATTTAACCAGCTTTTGGAACAAAAAAATACGCAATTTTTTACTGTAAAAATTTCACAATTTTTTTTGTAGTGTAAATCATTCAGTTTTCTACTGACATTGATGTCGACATGACGTCCTTAATTCAGGCAGAGAAAACCAAACGAGGCAGACCAGCCATAATTGATAATCAACATTTCTCATATGGCTCCAATGGACCTGGGTAGAGTCCTAATGTTTGGCACATTCAGGACCAGTTTGTCAAACAAGATGCTGATGCAAGACGAGCAATTCTTTCTAATTCAGTTGGCCAGGATATGGCTGATAATACAGGCAGAAAGGAGAGAGCCAAGGATGCAAAACAGAGGGTTAAACTGGTGGTAGTAGCTTTTGCTGCAATGCCTAAAACTGATTATCTGAAAATGCTGGCTCATGATCTCCAGCGAGCTAGAGCCCTTTAAGAAAAAATTTGTAAACATTATTATATGCAATATATTTTTTTGCTTTTAATTGAATTTCTTGAGAAAAAAGAGGAACTTCCAGAGGCGCAACTAGGACTTTTGCTAGGGGGGGCAATATATTTCCGAAAGTGTACTAGGCGAACTTTTACTAGGCAAAATGTTACTGAGCCCAAATTTGTTATCCTAGGTGAAATCAAAAAGCAAAAAAGAACTAAAAATGATCGATTAAAAACCCCAAAAACTATCATTTTTGCCTTATATTTTTTTCAAGGGTAACAGATTTGCATGTTCAGTAAACTTCTACAGTATAAAGTTTTAAAATGTTTGAACCTTCTCATGTTGTCGTACCTTTTAAAAGTCTAAAAACATTAAAAGTTCCTGTGAAATAAATCTGGATATTGCCCATCCCAATTAAAATTTTAAAAAATAAATTATTTATATGTAAACTACTATAACACATGAGGATTAAAAGTAAAGTTTGCAAAGTTGCAGTTTAAGAGATAAGATCTAATCTTCCAGAATAAGGAAAACCTGTCAACTTTGATATGCATTTTAAAATTATTTTTTTTTGTTAAAAAATAAAAGATAAATGAACCCTGAACCTGTTGAATATATTTAATTAAATTTTACAGGTATTTTTGTCTATAAAAGCTTTTAACACTTTGTGGATTTTACCGTTTCTAAGATGTCTCTATGAATTTTTCTTTAGGGTCAGATGATTAAATCTGTCATCGTTCATGCTGGCTTTTTGTTAAAGCATATTAAAGTATCTGCTGGAAAACAAGTTACAGTAAACTTTTAGGTTAGTCTCCAGAAAAGGGGGGTCAAAAGATACTCTTGAACCCCCTTTTTTTAAATAATGAAATAAATTACCTACCACCATAGTGTATACTTGACACATGGTGTCCCACAGAACATGACAGTTGGTAATTAGTTTAAAATGTTGTATAACCAACCAAGGAGCCTCTTGTGAATCCAATCAATTGAGTCTGTTGTGAATCCAACCAAGGAGCCTGATGTAAATCCAACCAATTAAGTTTGTTTTGAATCCAACCAAGGTGCCCGATGTGAATTCAACCAAGGAGCCTGATGTAAATCCAACCAATTGAGTTTGTTTTGAATCTAACCAAGGTGCCCGATGTGAATTCAACCAAGGAGCCTTCTGTTAATCCAACCTCGGAAGATGATGTGAATCCAACCAAGGAGCCTATTGTGAATCCAACCAAGGAGTCTGTTGTGAGTCCAAACTTGGAGCCTGATGTGAATTCAACCAAGAAGCCTATTGTAAATCCAACCAAGGAGCCTGTTTTGAATCCAATCAAGGAATTAGGAAAGTGAATCTTCAAAATCCCCCCAAGATTACTGAACATTTACGTATTGTACTGCATAACCTCCACAGTCTAGCACTTCCCAAACCAAATGTTGCCACCTGTTATTCTATAGTCTATATAATCTGAGCAGTCTAGTTTAGTTGCATTACAAGTTTGGCACATTTAAGAATTAGAGCAGCTAATTCCACAGACAATGTACAACCCAATTTATATAAGTATGTTTAAACTGCATTTATTACAACTTTACTTGAGGAGTAACTGAGAAGCTCTCTTGAGAAATTCCTTTTTTGCTTGATTTGCACAAACGGATGAAATGAGGAGAGGTATCCATTTTTTTGTGGATAAAAAAGTCTGCCTCTTGAGGAGTGCAAGTGGATTTCTGCCTGGGAAAAAAAATTTATTGCTTAGTGCAAAAGGGGTTAAGTTCAATTAATTAAAACGAAAACTAGGCCTGGGCATCGTTCCTGGGGAACAAATGTTCTTTCATGAGAACGAACGGAACGATCAAGAACGATCCCAAAAGAAAAAACGCATAGAAAGCGGTTTTAAAAATATTGAAACGATTTGTAAAGTAACGGAAAGGAATGGGAATTGCTTGAAAAGAATGTTTAAAATCAGGAACCCGTTCTTATTATCAAGAATGCGTTCTAAGTCGGGAACGCATTTTAAATCAGGAATGTGTTCTAAATCATCTAGAAATAATTAACAATTAAAATATTTTTTTTATTTGACCAACTGGGATTGAAAAAATAATAAAAAATTAAAGAGTTATGGGCGATACAATGAAAATATTTGTGAAAAATCGAGATTTTTGGAAAAATAATTTTAACAATTTGTCTTTTTTCATCTCTTGGAGGTTGATTTTGATATTTTAAATCATGGGATGGGATCGTATTCTCCAAGATCTTCTGCTACGTTTATTGCCATTTAAAGTTTTTCTAGCGTGTGGGAAGCCATAATTAAAAATTCTTTTAAAATAACTTTGTTCGATTTATATGGAAATATGTGAAAAAAGTCATATTATTGACATTCTTAGCAGAAATGTTTTATAGCATGGAAAAGATGCTCAGAGCCATGAACAATGCAATGGAAAAAAGAAACGGCAATAACTTGAAAAACGAAATGGCAATTGAGATTTAAGTAAATTTTTTTTTTCGCAAAAAAATATTTTTTCACCGAGAAATACAGAAAATGACAATTTAATTGAAACTTGATAAAATAGGACCTCTTTCAAGTATTTCTCAACCCTCCAAGGCAAAATCCAATCAGCCGGCCGCCCGGGGGTGGGGAAGGGGATGAAAACATTCTTGACTAAGAACGTAACAAAGGGGATGGAACCATTCTTCGACTAAGAACGCCAAGAACTGAACAGAACAATTCAAAAAAAAGAACAAGAATGGAACGATCTAGCTGAAGGCCCTCGTTCTAGAATGGAACAGAACGATTTAAAAAAAGTCGTAATGTGCTCAGCCCTAAAGAACACTTATTTGTTTAGTCACAATGTTTTAAAGACTTTTATCAAACTTCAGAACTCTCACATGCATCATCCAATTAATCTCTGACTAAAATATTTGTCTAAAAATTGATCCATTTATTCAATATATCCGATATATTTTGCTGTTCTTGTTCAATTTTTAAAGCACACTATTAGATTACAGCATTATTTTCACTTTGAACTTTTAGCACTTTAATGTCTTGGTTTAATTCTTTGTTTAGCTTCAGATTAGATTGTTTTTAAAGGTATAATGCTCATGGGCAAAGACCACTGCACCTAGAATAACAAAATAAATGGAAAAAATAAACACTTTCAAATTTAATTATTCAAATAAAAACACTAGGTCTTTTATTAGATAATTTTTAAAAAATGTGTCTGAAATATCAATCTATCAAATTTCCCCAGGTTTGGACACTTTACGGACAAATTATTTTTAATTGACTTCCTAGGCTTTATTCTCTTTATATGCAAATATCTCCCAGCTTAAGCTATTTGAATTTACCTGTAAGTAAGCCTATAAAGTATATGATGAAGCAAAGATAAAAGCTCTCCATGTACAAGGGTTCGGGTTCAGTTTTAGTCTCTGTCACTTTCAGAGCTCTTCCGTAGTGAATTTTTTGGAAATGTTTCATCAGTCCTGAAAATTCATATGAAAAAAAAATAGGTAGAATTCTTTTCCCTATAGGATTATAAAGTCAAATGATCAAATGAATTGATATTAGATAATTTATGAATTATGCAAATATCATGCATGAAATGTTTTAAGAGATGTCTATAATAATCATGATGTTCCACAAATTACAAAATTTTCAATTCATAATATTTCAAATCTGTTAACTAAACCAAACTTTAAAAATATTACCTGAATCAGTCAGCTGTGTGATAAATCTTTGAATAGTTTCTAAATATTCTCCTTCCCTCTTGTAGAGCCAGCCATCTATTGTTTGATGGAGAAAGATACCTCCACCCTCATTGTTTGTGGATAGTGAAACAGTTACCTTAAAACAAAGTTCACATTTGTTTTGAATTTAGTTCTGAAATGATAATGTTATACAATTAAGTTAATAATAAATCAATTTATTTCCTGAAGTTGCCAAAGGAATTGAGTTTTAGTAACATTTTGACTAAAAACTTATTTCAGACAAAATTTAAACCTACAGAATTATGACCATATTATTAGGTCGTTTCAGGGAACATTTCTTTGAAAAGCCAGAGTTTGTAACGGAGGAAAATGCTAAAGATTCTTTTTCTTTTAAATCATTTTAGGCTATTGTTCCCCATACCCAATTGATTTGGCTTGCCGAATTTGAACCAATTGCTTGAAGTTTATCAAGAGAAATTGAGCCCCTAGAAAAATTATAAATACGATTTTAAAATGTTTAAAAGTGTTTTTTTTAATGAGCTTGAATTAACAATGTTTTTTTTTAAACTGTTCTCCAAGAAAATTGATCCAAAAATATTTTTAGTTTATCCCCTGTAATCATATGCATTGCTTTTTTACATAAATAACAATTACCACAATAAGCAAGTAAACCACGCACCTCCATAAAAGAGGCCAAAACTTTAAACAAGATGAAAATTGTGCCTAGGACTCAATTCCTTTGGGCTCTATTCAGTCGTTTTTACGTTTGTTAGTTACTGATAATTAAAGAGACAGGCAGACAAGCTAAGTACATAGTTGTTAAATTCATTTCAATATGTCATGTGGAATTTGTTCCTTGTTAGTTCTATTTTACATAAGAAAGTTTTTAGATGATATTCTAATACAATTACATTAAGCTCAAAAATGCAAATTTTTACCCTTTATGAGGATCAAATATGTAAATATTACAGACAAATTCTTTTTCATAAAAATTTGTTAATAAGATCTAACCTTGCCATCTTTAAGCTGCTGTTCTGTAATCATATGTTTCATTGTGTTTATATCAACTACAACGCAATGTCCTCTATTTGTGATGGAATCTGCCTTTTCTAATTCACTAAAAGGGTTTGTTTACAAACAACTCTTTTCTAATTAAATAAGTGTTCGTTTTCTCAAAGCACTGTTCAAATCAAGATTCCCACCATCAGAAAGAAAATTAAGAAAATAGGAACTAATTGATTCAGTAGGATTAGATATTGCTCAAAGATATTTTGCTGAATTATTAAGATAGATTAAAGGGAGTGTTCGCGAAAAATAAAATGGGGTTTAGGCTAACTTCTATTTGTTGCGTCTGTAAGGTAAAAATTGTTAAAAGTGACTTATAATGAAAAATGTAGCGTCCATACAAATTCAGAAAGTTGCAATGTACGACTCGTATCGTAAAAAAATCAATTTAATTTCAAAACAAATCATTCAGATATTACAACCTAAAGTCATCAAGTATTTTTCAACGTATTTGTATATAGTTAATATTTCATAATATTTGTTATTTGTTTTATATACAATGCACTTAAAACGACTTTTTCTGCTAGGCATCTCTGCCACGTGTAATCATTAAGTGCATCGAGAGCAGAGAAATCTGGGGGCCAACTATTTCTTCAGCATGAGTCGTTTTTAACAATTTTCTCTTTATAGACGCAACCGATAGAAGTAAGATTAGTTGCTATCAAAAGCGATTATTTTTCACTGTAAGCCTAAACCCTCTTTAAGTTTTTGCAAACACTCCCTTTAACAGGCAGAGAACTTAAATGCAAGTGACCAGAAAAGAGAGCTAGATGAGCTAAAAGCACAGCATTATAGAATGATATATTAGGATTCAGTTAAAACCAATAATATGTATTTAAAAATGCAATGGTCGGCGTTTATAAAAATACAATGAACGGTTTTAAATTCTTTGGACAACCTTGAAAAAACAATATTTTTTATGCTGAAGCTGAAGCTTAAAAGAATCCTATCTCTTTAATAATGCTAGCTCTCATCTCAACTAGTCCTCCATGCCAATTTGCTTTCTTTCTTAAAACAATTACTGTCAATTATTACCAAGTGCTTTTTCACTAGAAATATCTTAAATGTTTTCTTAACAGAAACCTTTTAAAAGTAAAATGTAAAATCTAATGGAATGTTCTATTCTACTTCTATATGGTTGATATCCAAGATTTATAAAAATATGAATTTTGTTGAAACAAACATTTCAATTATACTGGACAAAAACCTTCCCTAGAATTATGTAATTTTTTTCATTTATTGGAAAAGTCAAAATGCATATATAAAGATCCGAAAAGTTTTGTCAATGGTTACTTTGTATATTATTACACAAAAAGGAATAACAAAATCTGCTTCTTGTAGATTCATAATTACAAGTGTACAAGTGTAACAGTGTAAACTGCCATCTAGTTAACATTAAAGCTTTTATGCCTAAAGCCTCAGATTTTCCAAAAATTACAAGAAAAGAAATTAAAATCATATTCTATTAAAACATTTGTTTTCTTACTCACGAACAGCATAGCGCCCTTGTTTCCTGAAAAAACGTTTTGTTAATTTTAAGCTATAAGTTAAAATTTTCTTTTAACTTACAGACTGAGTCAAAAATAACTAAATTAAATGATGTCTGTAGGTAAAAAAAAATATAAAAATTTAATTCAAAATAACAGTATTTTGAAAGGAAAATTTTTTAAAAAAGGACATGAAAGTTATTGTTGGTATTTTTACTTTAGTCCATTGAAAACATTGAGGAAATAGGTTTCTTTGTTTTTGTTATGGTAGGAAATGTGTATCTAAAATAGAAATTTGTTATGAAATTAGAAAAGAATTATCAAGTTTATTTTATTTTTAAAATTAAGGAGTTTTAGATTAGAGAATATTTTTTTGGGGCTAATTACAAGCTAGTTTTTGTTAAATCTCTTTCGCAAAATTTTTGTTCAGCAAATGAAAAGAAAATTTAATTTAATTTTCCGAAAGTTTTTTGAAATTTTTTTTACAAAGTTTTTATGGACCTTCACATACTTTCGTTGAAAATCCAATTTTTTAGTAGTTATTTAGGATAAAACCATTTCTGCAAAACTATTCGATAGATCATTTTTGTGAAAAAATTACTTAAATGTAGAGATTTCTTCTAAAACGAATTTTAGATTTATTTATGATTTTTTCAATTATTTATTTCTATTTTCCATATTAACCTTTCGTTTTGATTGCGTTAGAAACTGTTCCATTGAACTTATTTCTGGCTCATAATCTATAGCCATTAAGTTTGCTCTATATAAATAACAGAAAAAATGAGAATATTGAAACCATTTATATAGGGTAAATCAACTAAATTGTAAAAGAAGTAATTTCTAATGCTATAGGTGTAATAAATATCAGGTTATTACATTATTACATTATTAATCGATGTTTGTACATAACAAAACCATTTATTCATTTGAACTGCGTTCTATATTAATTTGTAGCATGTTTGGCTTAATCTTGTGATATATATGTTGTATTCTCAATTGCAACTATTTCTGATTGTGCTGTAATACATAACATAATTTGCCTTAAATCATGTGAAAAAAAACAAAGAAAAAAGCAACAACAATATGTTCGTTTTTTGTTGAAGAAACGATTGTTTGAAAAAAAAAGTTTTTAACATTTTTAAATGTAAGTTCTGATTCATTTTTGGTTGGTTTCCTCTCCTAGATAGTATTTATTCTATTTAAAGATGCCTATTTTCAGGAGTTTGTCTCGTCAGGAGTTTGTCTCGTCAGGAGTTTGTCTTTCAGGAGTTTGTCTTTTCAGGAGTTTGTCTTTCCGGAGTTTGTCTTTCAGGAGTTTGTCTTTCAGGAGTTTGTCACGGCGCCAAAAAAGTCTGACAGTGCCATCTAAGTTAAAACAGAGCCAGCATAGGATAGGGTCAACCAGACTTGCCAAATGTCCCTAAGGCCAGTACAAGAGGGTGGTCCTTTTCAAATTCAAATTGACCCTAGTACACGTTGAGGTTTTCACTGCATTTAATTATGGTATTCTAAGTCTGAAATTGGTGCATTGACAAATTATACTGTAATCAATCTTCTAATAAATTAATGTCAAATATAACAACTTTTATGCAAATAAAGTATATCTCCTGTTTTTGGTATGACCAACAAGGTTATAGTGTGTAGAGTGATGATGTACACTGATCCATTACTAATTGTATAGGCCAGGAATTATGACTGAGAGCGTATTGCATATTTAATTAATATAAGAGATTCTGGCCTAACCTATAGTTGTGAACCATACCCCTAAAATTACCCTGTTGTAAGGTCGTCTCTGACAAACTGTACCTCTGTTGGACCCTCCATCCACTTACCAAACCAAACATTTTCAAGGCTTTTGCGTAACTATAAACAAAAACCTCATGGAACTCAACGAAAAGAACCAATTTAAACATGATTTTCAGTGAATCATTTACAAATAAACAGTGAAATTACTTTAACCAGTTAAATATTTTTTTTCAGAAGGATTAAATTGCTTTAGACTTCAGTACAAACAACTTTTCGCCGTCCTACAGTTTTCTAGATTGTAAGTTCCGTATACTTAATTCACTTACTTTTAAGCCTTTGTCCAATTCTCAATGGTACATGTTTCTAAACCAATTTATAATTTCACACAACTGTTTAATCTTTATTAACAATCATTATTTATACACATGTACGTTAATAACAATTTGTATTTTGTTGTAGGAAACCTTCGTTACTGAAATATACATTTTCAAGAAGTTGTTCTCATCTATGTATGGCCGGTAGAAAAGAGTGTTTTCCTAGCCAATTCGGCTTATTTCCCTCTTTCGAGTATTATTCCTTTTGTTCGGCTCACAATAATATCATTATTAGTAAACAGCTAACTGAGCACACAGGTAAAGAACTATCATCCCCCTTGGGTATTACGCATGAATGCATGAATTAACTATTATTCAGAATGGAAAATATTTAATAATTTCTAACAAGAGGAGGGTAGGGGGGAAGGTTATCCCTTTAAAATAATTATGATAGATTTGTGCAATGCTTACATTTAAGTAATGTATACTTATTGACATAACCCTTACTATTATTTGTTATTGTCATCATAATCTTACTGTAAGATAGAAGGTATGCATCTAGAAGCACCAATAAGTAAAAAGAAAGAACAGAAAATACAGTTACTGCTGTGACCATTATCCAGACCTAATATTAATATAAATTAAGATGTTTATGACTTTATTTACTGTCAAGGTTTTTTTTTAAATTTCTGATTCAATACTTATTTATATATAAAAATAAGATAAAAAATGAAAAAAATACTTTCCAAATTACAATGTAACTTTTTTACTCTGAATTTCAGGAAAAGTACATTTTTTTATTGCTATTTTAAAACAAGAAAGAAAAATTTATAAAATTCTTTAACTTTACCTCATAACTAAATGGTTGAATGATTTGAAGGAAGTTAGTTTTTTTTACAGGCAAGGGACAAACTTTAAAATATCATCATTAAATATCAACATTTACAAGACAGAAGAAGATAAACTTACTTAATGTTGTTCCAGAATAAGAAACAGGAATAAAGCTAACTTTGTCAAAAAATTTTGTATTATTGGGGCCATAGAATAATAGGTTGTTCTGATATTGAATGTAAGCAAATATTTCGCCATCTGAAAATTAAAAATATCATTAACCTCTTTTAAAAAAAATATAATTCTTTATTATTCTTTTTATTACTTAATTTTTTTATGAACACAATTACATGAAGCAAAAAAAACTTAAACGGTAAACCATTCTAAAAAATAAAGTTATTCTCTTTATCAGTTTTGCATCATCAATCTATTGTGTTTGATGTATATAGATTTAAAACATATGACAGTTATTTTAATAATAATTAAAACTAATTCCCAACAGTTAATGATGTCTTGTCTTCCATTTACACAATTCAAAATTTCTTATTTTATTTTACAAGAAGGTTGAGGGGAATATATTCTGGCCGGAGGGTTGGGCACTGATGAACATGACATTTGCACAGGCTGATCCAATTAAAGTGCAGAAAGGATAGCACTAGTAAGCAAGGAAAAGTTAAGTAGGAAAATTTGAGAGAAAATTTTTTATGGAGCCAATGAACACAGAGAACAAAAAAGAAAGGAAAGGATAGATGGAAGAGAAAAGACAAAGGAAACAAAATCAATTCTTAAAAGGAAAAAAATTCCTTATTTCTTTCTTTTTACTTTTTATAACTGTCTGAGAAAAGTACAAAAGAACATATTATGTTTGAAAATCCAGCTTTCTACAAGTTGTTGGCAAATCAACGCTACATGTGATTAACAAAAATCATATCATTAACCAAACCAAATAGTTAAGCCTAAAGAAAAATAGGAAGCAAATAAGTGTTCACTATGGTTTATAGGGTTACCCATAGTCAAGTTTTTAAGACAATGGCGCAACACAAAACGTTGGGGTGTATGACTTTTAACTAATCTTGAGGAGAAAAAATTAATAGAAAGACTTTGATAACAAACTGGAAATAGATTTTTTGATATTTTGTTTTTATTTGTATGTGTGAGTATTGAATGTAAGCAAATATTTCGCCATCTGAAAATTAAAAATATCATTAGATGAGACAATACTGTAGAAGAATGATAAAAGTTTACTAAATTGAATCAACTTCCCAAGTCTATCCTAGCCACAGTGCTCAGCTCCCTGACTGTTCTAGCCTCGGGGCTTGGCCCCCTATCCTATCCTTTCTGCAGCGCGTGGCCTGAGTTGTAGCCTGTGGCCCCTCAGAGGGCCTAACCTAACTTTTAGGAAGTTGCACATTAGGAAAATTGATACTTGGGGAGTCGCCCTCAGGAAAACCCCTTTGGGAAAGTATCTAACACCGATATTATGACAAATGTTACATGATTCCTTGTAGCATATATATAAATCAACTTCTTGGAAAACTATTTAAATTTTTCTTGACACCTATGACAATAAGAAATAGAAACTAAAACAAAAAATTTAGTTCACATTAGCAAACATTTCGTTCAAATTTTTGAACTTTTGTTAAAAATCTAGTGTTTTCACAAAACCTTGGGACAAACCATTTTCAAGAAATTTGTCGAACCTAATTTCACAAACTTTTTTGGTAAGATATAGAAGTTTTGAATTTCCGTTGAAAAACATATATTTGTAGAGTAGTTACAAAAAAAATGGCGTCAAAACTGTTTGGTTGAAGTCTAAGTACAAACAAATGCTTGTTAAGTCGGTCTATTTACTCAATTTACTAATTTTAACATCCCTTACTCAAAGCAGTCGTTAATATTTTAAACAAAATATTTTATCCAAGATTCAAATCAAACATAATATTTCAATTCTCTCTACTATACAAGCTCGTCATAATGTCTGCTACTCTATTCCTTGTCTAAATGACGCACTTCCGGCTTACATTCTCAACTTCCTGGCCAGGAACAGCTGATTCCATTCAGTTTTTTTTCAATTTGCCAAGCAAAGAGGAGCTACGCTGAATTTTAACCTTATTTTATGTTAGTATATTTACGTGTTCATGATGGATTCTGGAAGATTGTGTCTGCTCATTCGCACCTTAGCGTTTTAGTTTTGTCTTGATAAACAGGTAGAATTGTCCCCATCATTTGGGATTAATATATAGCTTGTTAATAGCTAGGCTTGTGTCCCTGTGTGGCATTTAGAGCCGATTGTCCCCATCATTTGGGATCAACATATAGCTTGTTTAATAGCTAGGCTTGTGTCCCTTTGTGGCATTTATAGCGGATCGTCCCAATCATTTGGGATTGATTAATATCTTGTTTGATAGCTATGCTTTTGTCCCTGTGTGGCATTTAGAGCACTGTATTAGTGGCTGGATTTTGATAGCTAGGCGTGTGTCCCTGTGTGGCATTTAGAGCCTAGGATTTAGTAGTTCTGGTTGAGTTTGACAGCTGACAAACCTGGATAGATACATTCCCAGAAATTGTTTTGGAGTAGGTATTTACTACAAAACTGATGGCAGCGGCATGAATCAAGGAACCCAGATTAGATGTAAATGCCTAAACCTCCAAGGAAGACAAATCAAGTGAGTACCTGGTTCATCAGGGTACTGAGAGAAACAAGAACAGGGGATATCTTTGAAGACGAGACAGCAGCAGCAACACTGGATACTGTGGAATCATTGTACCCTAGGCTACCTAGTGAGGACAGTTCAGAAATAGTAATGAGCATGACAGAAGCAGGAGGAGAGGGAAACCCCCTTACAGCAGAGTTACAATTACAAATTGTAATGCAGAGACTAGAGAAAATGGAGCAAGATAAAGGAGCTATGGAGGCAAAATTTGAAGCAATGCAGGAAGACATAGAAGAGGAAAAAACGAAGAAAAAACAAGAATCGTATGTGCATGGAAAAACAATGCAAAACCTGATCCTATTTTAATAGTAACAGCGATGCTAGAGAAACCAAAGATCACAGATGCAAACCAGAAAAGTAAGTAGTACCTAGGTGATAAGTGGAGAGGCAAATGAGGACAACTATGAGAAACTAAGTAAATTTGAAACTGCCCTGGTGTGAAAAATTGGAAAATCATTTGTACAATCATGAGTGGTAAATAATACCAGATGAGTGAATAAAGAAAATGTTGCTGGCGTGTAAAACAGGAGGGGCCAGACAGGAGATAGTACTGTTGCAGCCTACAGGAGAAGGGATAGCATTTGATATGTATGGTAAGGGAATTCAAAGTACGTATTTTTAACAAAGAATCTTAGAACATGGCTGAAATCAATTATCTCTGTATATGGGAGCTAAAACTTTTTTTTTGTAAAAATCACAAACGAATGTATATGATTCTTTAAGATTCTTTTTGTGAACATCTTGTGAACACTATATGCGTATTTTTTACGTATAGGCTCAAGGTTAAGACTACGCCTTAAAATCTAACTTTGAAATCTTGAAAAGATCATATGAACAGTTGTAGCCAACCCTTGAGCAGCTCTGGAGTTTCAAACCAACTCTGTACCACCAAAAAAGGGATTTTTTTAATATTCCTAAATCAAAATAGAAACATCATTTTCGGACCAAGTCCTGAACCAGAAAGCTCCAGGATCTAGGATTCTTCTAGCTTCTAGCAGCTCCCCTACAGCAGCAGCCTTCAACAGTTCTGCTCCAGACAGCTCCGTGTTATAAAGATTCATTAATACCAGCAGTTGAGCAGCTCCCCAAATCCCCCTACAGCAATTAACTCCATAATTTTATAACGCTCCCATATTTTCCGTAATAAGTTTTAATAAACATTTCAAACCCCACCATGTATCATTTAATTAGACCCAAGGTCTAATAGTATAGAACAGGAGAGTTCTTAACAGAATTATTACAGAAATTCTCAAAAGAAAATGACAAAGAAGGCAGAAGACTAGAAAACAACAACAGAAGAATAGAAGATCCCAGGAGATATTATACTAACAAGCTAAGGTTATGGATCCTGGTATATGCTCCAGAATTCAAAACTGCAATGATTTTAGGGTTGTACCATGCAGAACTGCGGAAAGCATTTTTACAGTTTATGCCTGAAGTACTGGAAGAGGAGAGCGAAATTAAGGAAGTACTGGATCATCATGAAATGGCAGGGTTAACAAGTTCATTTAATTTTGATGCAGAGAAAAGAAACATGAAAACGAATGAAATTTGGAGGTAAATGTGATGCCGGGATTAATGTTAGACAAATCAGACTATGAAGATGTCATCACAATTCAGCCAGAAGATAGCTGTTTCTTCTGCAAGAATTCCGGTCATATTAAAAGGGATTGTAAGAAGTTTATGGTGTGAATAATCCAGATAAGTTTGCAAAATGGAATAAGAATAATTCAATCAAGAAGTATGAGAGTTACAGACAGAACAGAAATAACAAGCAAACCGGAAGTAACAACAGGAGAAATGATTGTTTTTCCTGATATAATTGTGAAAAACAGGACATTACTCAAAAGATTGCAGAGAGAACCAGAGTAACAGAGCAGGAGGTGACAAGAACAAAGGAGGCGGAAGAGTGGATGAGTTAGAGTTAGCGGACAGCTGGCAACTTCAGAGATGAAGAAATTTAAGTTAGTAAATAATGATTTTAATGAATTAAATAAACTTTTCAAATCTCGTAAATGTCTGATCTATTAATGACATGTTAAATGAGAACTTTAAGTTAGAAGAGGAAGGTTTTCAATAAAAATTATAAAATTAAAATGTAAAGTAAAATTATAATTTGAATTTCTCAAAAAATCTTTAAGAAGGAGACTGAACACATTTTAGCGTATTTTAGCGGCATTTTAGAAAAAAATGTTCAATTGACAATCCCCCCATTGGTGTACATTGTACCTCTAGAAGCACTAGTACATTTAAACCATATTTTTATAAATATGTAAAAAAATTTATAATGGGGCGGGTTTCAAAAAGTGTTTTCTAGGACAGAACCAAGTGATGTTATGCGTCAAAACAATGGATCAATTACGGAAAATTGACCGTAAACTCAAATAAATTAAATTGTTATTGTTTGTTTATATTTTCAGAAACTTGTGCTTTGCCGTGTAGCATAACCAAAGTTCGCTACGAGTTCTCTCCAGTCACGACACTGGAACCGGAAGTAGGGGAGAGGAAACTGGGGTCAGGGAGAAACATG